ACTTAACTTTCATTGGGAGGTGCATAATAAAACAAATACTGGATGATCAGGAGCTGGATATGGCCAGAATACCTATCCTCGAAAAAATATTGGGCTCGGCTGCCGCCTCGCCCAATATTTTTTCTCGAATAGGTATTCTGCCATATCCAGCTCCTGATCATCCAGTATTTGTATAATATTCATATTAATGTAATAATAAACTCGTATAAAAAATATATAGTATCAAGTGACGTAAACAACAAACGCACGTAGGTGGTAGGTCTTCCACCTTGAACAGTTTTTAATTAATTTGCCAGTCAGTACGATCATGTTATCTCAGGATAGCATTGTAAACACTTGCGGACGAAATACGATGGCAAAGTTTCCTTTAATTTAATTAAAAAATATATCATGGATTAAAAAATCTGTTTAAAAGAACATCATCACTAAATATGCATGTTGTAATTTTTTTTATTTATCATTCGATTCACTGAAAAGCAAGTCTAAAAATGCGACTAGATACTTTTCCCGTTTGAAATGTAATTTTCAATTTATTAATAGGCTACTCCGCTATTCGTGCAGCTTTTCTTTATATTCATGAATCTGTATATGTCACAATATACTATTTACGATCTACTCTTCCCTTGAATAGATATTTGAAATCCATTGTTGTATCAATATCATACCTGAAAGTGATCTCTAAGTAATGGCGAATTCCTTATACGAGAGACAGCCATTTTGAATTTTCTGTAAAACAATATCATAATTGTGATCTACTCTAAAATTCTTTCAGTTTGAGTACAATATAGCCATATTTAGAAGAGATCAGAAAATTATTGGGAAATCCCACATAAGGCAACCATTTTGAATTGTACGATGCCCGAATCGGAAAAACGATACAATATTTGCAATCTACTCTGAATTGAGAATAATAAAGCTATACTTTAAAACGTCTCAAAATTAACGCAAATTCCTGTTTTCCCGACCCCCCCTATACATGGCTCCTGGGGGTCAGGGTGAAAACACGGAGTATATGTGAAATAGATTCAAACAATAATATTTATCACTTTGATTTAAAATGAAAAACTTAAAGGCCTACTTTGCGTATTTTAAATGTTTTTGGGCAAAATAAAGACTTACATTTGAATTCTATAGAATGTCCAATGTATTGATGAGAACCTTATCTTTCATTTGACACCAACAAAAGCTCAAACGGACATCAAAGCTTACAATAATTAATCAAAATACGTTTTCGATCTGTCAAGCTTTATATATCAAGTTTTTATCAATGTCATTGAAAGATGGCGAAGTTCACGGGTAGTATCTAAAGCCCCGCTATGATTTAGAAATCGCGAGCAAATACCCGCTGAAATCGCGAGCAATTAAAAGAAAAGAAGGGTTATCTTTTGTTTACTTAAATTGTATGTTGTAAAAAGCGTTTTCATTTAATTTTACTCAATTATTACATGGTATTGATACTAAAAAGCAACTTCTGCAAAAAAGGATCACGAGCTGATGTTCTGAGTTTTGTTATTCGATAATTGGAGAGAGAATGTATCATCTTGAATCTTTATCTATATATTTCTATATTTTATAGCTGAAGAAGGCCATTGCCCTTCAGTTGAAATGGTCATAGTAATATGAAATGAAGGTATTGTGAGTTTCACTTCCTAAAGTTTCACAAAAAATTATATATTTCAATTTTAGCATATCCCTTGAGGCCCCGCTTCTACCATGAGCAATAAACTAAAGATCCCGCTGAAAACATGAGGAGGCCCCGCTGAAAACATGAGGAGGTCCCGCTGAAATCAGGAGCAAGTGGATCTCTAAAATGGAGTGAAGACCGATTTGACTTTGCAAATCTGCCACGACTGTAGCCAACGTCATAAATATATTAATTATTGATACTCTACAGAGCACATATATATCATATATCATTGTCATTGTTATTATCGGTTCGAGCAACCCCCCCCCCCTTACCAAAAGCTGGCTACGAGCATGATTCCAATAAAACCATTTCACTTAATGTATTTCGACCTGACTCCATCGAGAAATTTACCAAGAGAAGATTTAAATCCATTCCACGACTTTTGACAAGTTTCAAACAACTCGTTCTTCTTTGTATGCAATATATATTTATATTTCACTGAAGTTACATTATACTGTAGTTCAGTATATTACTACCTTAGGGGATTCAGCACCAATGGCGCACACGTTTGAAAAGGCAATTTATGGATCAACTGCTAGATGTAAGTAACAAAGGAGAACATCATCCGATTATGAGTCCGAAATAATAATAATCAAATAATTTCATCATTAACAATTAATCGTAGGTTATGTTAAACGCATGTGTTACGCGGAAAACATGATGCAAATATGTGTCATATTCTGCAATAAATATGGCATATTCACTTGCGATGTATGACAGATTCAGCTGCAGTATATTGCATACCCACTAAGCAATGAGAACACGATACGGAAGTACGCAATTGTCATTTGCATTGATTGAACAAACGGGTAATCATTGTGTCATTTTCACCTGCGGTATATGACATATTTGGCAAGTGAGTATGACATATTCTGCAGGTGACTATCAGGTATTCACTGAAATCAATTTATCGCATATTCACGGCGAAATATCGCATACTCACCTGCGGAATATGCCAGGTGAGTATGGCATATACTGTATACCCGTATCACAAATACCACGCAACCATAAATGTATGCCATACTCCGCGTAACATCGTATGTGTTACGCGGAATATGGCATATATTCATGGTTGCGTGGTATTTGTGAAACGGGTGTGTATGCCATATTCAGCTGTGGTATATGGCGTATTCCGCAGGTGAGTATGGCATATTCCGTATTGAATATGTGATACATTGATTTCAGTAAATACCCCATGCTCGCAGAATATGTCATACTCACTTGCAGAATATGCCTTACACCGCAGGTGAGTATGCCATTTACCGCAGGTGAATCTGTCATACTCCACAAGTGAATATGCCATATTCATTGTGGAATATGACATATATTTGTATCGTGTTTACCGCGTGACAATATGTCCAGGAAAATGGCTTATGCAGGACATACAATTTATATGTCCCGGATCCACGTTTGAGCGGGACATACGAAAAATATTTGCCCGGATATGGAATATATTCCCGGTTGATGTCCCTGAAAATTATCAGGTATGGAATACAAATCATCATTATTTTAATAAATATTTAAAAACAAAAACTTGAATGTTATTGTTAAATGTTATTGTTAAATTATAAAAGTAGAACCTGAATTATCATGGAGACTTTGTGGTTCTCCTTTCTCTCTAAATTTCATCTTCTTGCAACTTGGGGTGTCTTTGTTTAATACAAGACTTATTACCCTGAACCTCAGGCTTCAATTAAGTTCATTCTTGAAATGATATCCACCTTTCTCCTATACATTTTGATATGGATGCAACTCTATAAAATGTTTGACGAAATCTCTGGTGGCTTGAAGTTGGAATGGAAACATTAGAAACCTGGCCCTAGAATGAAACAGTACAGGGTATATATACAGTAATTATTAGAAGTACTTAACTTGGTCTTTCGTGTACGTTTATTTGAAGAACCTCAATATTTTATGTAATAGTAATGAGCTTTCCTCGTGATCGAAGCGGGTACTCGTGATATCTGCTCCTGTTTTCAGCGGGACCTCCTCATGTTTTCAGCGGGGCTTCCTCATAATTTCAGCGGGGCCACTGGCACATCTTCAATGATGTATTTCACCCCCCACAGTGGATGTTTTTGAAAAAGAACTTATCAATACATACAATGTTGGTCCAATATTCATAATGAGGTATGTATATCGTAGTTCTTGTCTCTATTTTAACCATAAAAGTAATATGTTAACAGTAAATTATGCAAACGTGCGTATTGACGCCCGTTTCTTCCATGCCAGTAAAAATAGTTATCTTTCATGTCATTGTTTGTGAAGATATACCTGTTCTGAAAGTATACCTAAAGTATCAAAGAACAGTAATGCGTATTTTTACCTTTTTGGTCCATATTTCCAGATGAATTAAATAAAAAGGACTTTGCTCGTGATTTCAGCGGGAACTTGCTCGCGACCTCTCAATTATAACGGGGCTTTGGATACAACCCGTGGAAGTTGTTTGTATTACATGATACATTCATTTTTATAGAAGTGTTGCCATCTTTTGAATCAAAGTAATTTAAAACATGCACTTTGTTTAGCATGTGCCTGCACTACTAATGATCTCTGAACTTTTATTTTATTTTTCTTGGTTCAATATTAAGGCAAATCAGACTTTGTTTCACATTTGAACAAGTGTGTAACATGTTTCAATGATTATATTTTTCTTTTTTCTTCTAAATTAAGTATAGTGGGCCTTTAATATTTTCGCAAAAATTCCCGTTATTTTTTAAGTGGAGGCCATCTTGGATTTTTTTGCGTAGAACAATTCAGCAATACACATCAGATATGAAGAAATTTGTCAACTAATATTTGAGTTATCTTCCGGACGGACGGACAGATTGACGGAGGGACTGACTGACAGAGGGCTTCCCTATATCCCTACTGAATCAGAAGCATTAGTAAAGAAATAATCCAAGTAAAGAGAAAACCGATTTTTTGGATTGCATGACATCTACGCATTGGATCAGAACTGGCTTCCAACAGAATTCCTGAAGAAGAATGATTGATCTAGCAATTGCATGGCGCGGTTTGATCTGAGATTAAGCGGCTCTAGTTTCACATCATATTTAAAGCTTGGTGCTAAAGAGGTAAAAATAAAAATATTCTATTACCATTTGAATTATTACCAACTTATGAAAGGTGCAATCCGTGTAATAAACGAAACCATATAGTGCAATCTTAAAGATTCTTAAGACTCAGTTTTAGATATGTTATGTTTTATTGTAAAAACGCACCTGTGAAGTGTGCCGCTGATACAAAAGCGTAGTTCTGAATAAATAAATAAAATATCAAGCACAAATATAATAAACAAAATACCCAATGATTAATGAGTTATAAAATCATTTATTCTACTGTTGCTTATTTCAATGATACACATTATATTCACTTTATATAAATATTTTCACTTTATATAAATATTAAATACACACATTATAAAAGCATTTTCTATTGCCCATAAACAATTTTTAGACTTGTGGACACTTCCCTCGTAACAAATTAAAATATCAACAATAATTGTGGAAAAACAATTGGGTTGAAAAGGCATCTGTATTTTCCCAAAATCTAAACTGACAGCAAAAATCTTCCAAAAATGACATTTTTACTAAAACTTGGATTCATTTCCGACTGTTTCATATTCAAATAATGATACTATATAACACTTAGTAGGGGCTTTCCTAAATAGCCTCCAAACTCTGCTTAACCTAAATACTGTGTTTATTCAAAATGGCTGCTCAAATCAAAATGGTTGCAATTCTTTAAGTTTTAATTTGAGTTTCATGTCAAACAAGACACAGATTGTCAAAAGAGAGACGTCTACTAATTTGTAGCATTATACATGTTATCCAATACAATTGCTTATTCAATCTCAGTCTCATTTCCTATTGGTTAATGGTCAATCTCAGTTTCATATCCTATTGGTTGATATAAACACTCTCCTATTGGTTAATATCATCATCTAGTAGAAAGCATAGTTGATGTGAAAATTTGTTGTAAAATTTGAGGTATGTCTTTTGTATCCAAACAAACAAAGCCCTTTCCCTGAGGTAATTGTTTAGTCAACCTGAAATGTAAACGATTAAATATAATCTAGACATAAAAGGGTTAAAACATTGCAATATACACTTTATCATCCCATATTAATATCCAATTTCAAAGCCAATCAATTGTTCACTACAGGCTGCAAAATAGTAAAAGCATGATGCGGAAAGCACCCACTGAAAGATATTTACCGGAAAGATGCAACGAATAAAATAATAATTTGTATCGTAAAAATACATCTGGATAAGTAATTGTTAAATATAAGTAATATAGCATAATAAAAACAAAAACAATAATTATGGTCCTTGAAATTCAATTGGAGTCTTTTATGATGTAACTATGACATTATCCTAATAAACAATTGACAATACTAAGGGGATATGTTTTCCAATACTCACACTTGAGCTTGGTTTCCAAGGGAACCAATGAAAATGGCAAATGCATTCACATCATCATTACTTTTTAATACATCAGCAAACCTCTGTGGGCGGATACCTGAAAAAAGATTTAATTTATAATGTGTTCACATGTAAATGCTTTGATTTTTACATTTTTCTTATATTTTCTAGGTTATAGTGTTTTTGTTGTCAACATCAACTTCCTGAAAAATTGAGAGGACTTGGAAATTGCCTATGGCTGGTCATATAGCCATTGAATAAATGTGCATAAGACCAAATCGCATTTTTACCACTGCACCAAATATAACAGACGTTTCCATCTAAATGCTCTTACTATGTAATTCATTATAATGTATATTATCAATAAAGGTTTCCATATAAATGTTCTTACTACATGTATGTAATTCAGTGTACATATTATCTATAAAGGTTTCCATATAAATGTTCTTACTACATGGAATTCAGTGTACATATTATCTATAAAGGTTTTCAATTCCATACACACGTTTTTATTTTGCTATATATTTTATTACTTACAATGAATCAATATGTCTTTTATTTACAACATATAATTCATTATTTATAGGAAACAAACACCTGTTCGTAAAAACTATGTATGTAATAAAGAAACCAATGTTGATGTCGGTCATATAGCCATTGAATAAATTCTGGCTGGATTTAATCAGATAGAACGACTATGGTACTGCATGCTACAGATAAATTCGCGTGTGTTGATCCGTGTGTATGTTTTCAAAACTTCAATTTTTATGCTTTCAGACTATTGTTCTTTTACTTGTATTGTATTTGTATTGTGCGTTATATTTCATTTTGTAACAAATACCATACGCCAATACATTAGCAACCACATACCTACATTGCCACCCGAGGGTAAGAGATCGAGAACAAAAAATTAATTTCCTTATCTTTGCATTTCCAACTTAGCCAAGGGTGATTATGAGCCAATAACTAAGGATGACACAATAGTATTATCTCCATTAAAATAATGACTGCATTGTAAGGTTATTTTTGTATGACATTAGACTACTTCTATGCTGTAACATAACAACGTTGTTATATTATACCAAATAGTAAAGACTACTATAAAACACATGAAATGTGGGCTATACCTGGGAAAACTGTTTAAAATCGATAAGAATATTTAAGGGTTTTACAAGGTGTCATGAAAAGATATTACAGAGGTTAAACGTTTTTTTTTCACAACGTAAACGTGAACGGAGAGATATACCCGTTCCGCTTCAATGTGAAGCTTCACAACGTAAACGTGAACGGAGAGATATACCCGTTCAGCTTCAATGTGAAGCTTCACAACGTAAACGTGAACGGAGAGATATACCCGTTCAGCTTCGATGTGAAGCTTCACAACGTAAACGTGAACGGAGAGATATACCCGTTCAGCTTCAATGTGAAGCTTCACAACGTAAACGTGAACGGAGAGATATACCCGTTCAGCTTCAATGTGAAGCTTCACAACGTAAACGTGAACGGAGAGATATACCCGTTCAGCTTCAATGTGAAGCTTCACAACGTAAACGTGAACGGAGAGATATACCCGTTCAGCTTCAATGTGAAGCTTCACAACGTAAACGTGAACGGAGAGATATACCCGTTCAGCTTCAATGTGAAGCTTCACAACGTAAACGTGAACGGAGAGATATACCCGTTCAGCTTCAATGTGAAGCTTCACAACGTAAACGTGAACGGAGAGATATACCCGTTCAGCTTCGATGTGAAGCTTCACAACGTAAACGTGAACGGAGAGATATACCCGTTCAGCTTCAATGTGAAGCTTCACAACGTAAACGTGAACGGAGAGATATACCCGTTCAGCTTCAATGTGAAGCTTCACAACGTAAACGTGAACGGAGAGATATACCCGTTCAGCTTCAATGTGAAGCTTCACAACGTAAACGTGAACGGAGAGATATACCCGTTCAGCTTCAATGTGAAGCTTCACAACGTAAACGTGAACGGAGAGATATACCCGTTCAGCTTCAATGTGAAGCTTCACAACGTAAACGTGAACGGAGAGATATACCCGTTCAGCTTCAATGTGAAGCTTCACAACGTAAACGTGAACGGAGAGATATACCCGTTCAGCTTCAATGTGAAGCTTCACAACGTAAACGTGAACGGAGAGATATACCCGTTCAGCTTCAATGTGAAGCTTCACAACGTAAACGTGAACGGAGAGATATACCCGTTCAGCTTCGATGTGAAGCTTCACAACGTAAACGTGAACGGAGAGATATACCCGTCCAGCTTCAATGTGTCGTTTTTAGAAAGGAAAGGATCACAGAGGTTACGACAAACAATTTTCGACAATTTTTGGCATTGAATCCATCAACATACATTTTCAAAAAGGTTTCACCAAAAATGCAACGTTTTATTAAGCCTGTATGTTGAATGCATTATCATGCCTGGTGATCAGAAAAATGGGACGAAAGGGGAGGGGAATTAGACGATTTCTGCAAGAAATTCAACAAATCTGGAAGGTTGATTTTTTAAGAGAAAGCTACTTTTGAACTGCAAAATAAAGAGGCGCACGAAATGGTAAAATATGTTAGGTCTTCTGGGATTTTTTGAACCGATACGCTTCTCAGATATGATATATATTAAAAAATGCGCAGGGCCATCTTGAACGTGCACAAGTAAATGTTATTGCTATAATCAAGCAACAATGGTCTACGCGATCTTTTGTATTTCAGATTAAAACAAGTCATTAACATGGCAAATGTCACCACCTACAGGTAGTTGATCAAAATATTATGAGTTCAAATTTGAATTTCTGAAATTTTTAAGATAATTTTGAAAAAATAAATTTTTACCCTGAGAAGGCCATCGAAGGTGAAATCTCAAATCTAAAGTCAGATTTGAACTTCTAGGAACTTGGAGATGATTTTGAAAAAATTGTCAGTCTAAACAGTATTTGTTAAGTTATTGGAAGTTGTGGGAATTTGTTACAGACGCCGATCGCCAACCACCAACCGCCGTAAAAAACGGAGACCATAACAATATGTCACCACCTTTCTGCGGTGACTAATGAGAAATTTAATTTCAATGGAAAGGGTAGACAGCGGGGAATTCTAAATGTTACAAATGAGAAAATAAGCAATCACCTGCTCCTGTATTGCAGTATCAAATGATCAAATTAAATACGAGATAGTCTTGATGAAATTACACGATATTCAAGATGTTGCTTATTCATCAAAGAAGGATTAATATCAAAGGGTCCCATTGTCTCAAATATATTGCACAACTGACTTTCTTTTCTTAAAGCGTGTTTTGGGAATTTTCATGGTAGCTATATGTAAATGGATTTTACATATGCTTATATAGCTTCAGTTGCTAAAAAATTTCCCATGGGAATAGATGAGCAATAATTTCCATTATATACAACCCTTAATATTATTTCAGAGATTTGGCTTTTGATTAACTTACAAGCCATTAACATGCATAATGTCATGTCACCACCTGCCACTTTTTACAAATGCCGAACACCAACCGCTGAACATCGTCAATAAAATGTTAGAGACTTTAACAATATGTCACCATTTGTGGTGGTGACATAAAAAACCCATTCAGCACCTAGAGATATATGCTGCGATTTATATTGATTTGTTATACGTATCACGAATCAGGAATACAAGAAAGTTCAACAATATAAATTCAGATTAACAACTGCATGTAAAATATGTGTTGAAATAACATGCTGTTCAAGTATATCCTGATTTAAACACAAACATGTATAAAATGTCATGTCAGTTCCAAGCAGTAGAAATGAAGGTCTATCGAACCTTATAATGAGCAACCAAAGGGACCAAAGTGCACTATATTGTTAATTGTAATATGGAAAATGCATACATTATCATTTTAAATGCAAAACAAATAATATTACTCCCAACATTACAAAGGGCCACAGGTTGATTGTACAATATACAAATGTTTTGTTTCTAAAATATGAATGTATTTTCAATATAATATTGCGCTGTCATCCTTTGATTGCTTAGTTTGATAGAATAATAAACCATTTATATACTAGTATGTTAAAAAAATAAGAACAACATGTGTAAAATCAGCATATTCAATTTTTACGATGTCAGAAACTACTCTTCTTTAGACTACTTGGCATCCCAGGGGGCATCGTCTATATCCCGAGCTCCTACTGTTGCTATTGTTAATAAATAGCTTATATATAAACAACTCGTACACTTCAAGTCTGTCATTTGATTACTCACAGAGCTGTAGAAGACAGAAAAATCTGCTGAATAATAAAGTGGCGTTCTGATGATTCTTTGACTAAACTTTCTGAACATTGACAACATTTGTTTTGTATTAACAAAAGTGGGTTAATTGTGAATAAAAAAGATGGGGAAAAACGACATAGTGAATGTAATATACAACATAAGAATGTCACTGATGGCTGTCATTCTTGTCTTGGGACTGTTTGGGAATACCATGGCAATTGTGATCATGCAGCAGAAGAAATACAAAAAGATAAGCACGTGTTTATATATGACTGCCATATCCGTGGTAGACAACATGCAGATAATACTATACTTGATATTTTGGGTATATCAAGAAATCAAAAATGATCAAATTGATAAGGCTTATTGCATGCTGCGCGTTTTTTCTATTGGATGGACATTGGAGGCATCTACCTATCTCATTATAGCAATGACCATAGATAGGTCTCTGATGCTAAAAATGCCACATACTAAAAAATGGAGGGCACCTAAGCGTGTGAAAATAATAATATGTTTAGTTATCGTTTTGACTTCCTTCAGAAATGCGCATCGTTTCAAATTTGCGACCACGATATTCGATGAGAATTTGAAGCACTTAACTTGTTCATTGTACAGAGAGGATTATCCGGGTAGCCAGGAATTCGCCATAATTGATGCCCTCGTCCAGACAATCATACCAGCGTGTATCTTGCTATCTTTCAACAGTTATATCATACATAAAATGAAAAAGAAGGTTCAAATAGGAGTTGCCTTATCAGCGAACATTCCGAATCAACAACCAAATGAAAATCTATTTAAAGCGAAACAACGTGGGATCACGGTTATGTTGATATGCGTGTCATTCGGGATAGTAGCATTCACACTACCTGTTTTCCTCATGATAATGATTGCGAAGAGGATTGACAAGGACTATCAAAATATCATCATCTTTGGATTTTATCAACTTTCCTTGACAATATATTTCATGAGTTTTTCCGCAAACTTTTATATATGTCTTATTGGGGGTTCAAGGTTTAGAAAAGATGTGAGACGGTATCTGGGCAAATGTTTCCCACGCAGATGTACATTAACGAACGTTGTGGCTCCCGTACATTGAGTAACTCAACAAAGGAAAACGAAGGATTGCCCATCCAAATTCTGACAGTGATGTAAGACAATATCTCGACAAACATTTTCCATTCAGATGTACATTAACGAACGCTGTGGCTCCCGTATAATGAATTGCTCAACAAAGGGGCACGTCCACTGTAGAATAGTCCACCCTAATTCAGTCAAAGATTTAAGACGATATTTGTACAAACGTTTCCAATTCAGATGTACATTAACGACAATGCTGTGGCTCTCGTATAATGAATTGCTCAACAACATTTGGACAAACGTTTCCCATTCAGATGTACATTTACGAACGCTGTGGCGCCCGTTTATTGAAATGCTCAAAAAAGAACAAGTAGGATAGTGCCGATAAATCCAGACATTGATGTTAAAGATGTAAGACCATATTTGGGCGAATGTTTCCAAAGCATGCGTATATTAACGAACATATTGCATCCTGTATATTGAATTGCTCAACAAAAGAACACGTGGGATAGCCCAGCCAAATCCAGACAGTGATATGAGATGTAAGACCATATTTGGGCAAATGTTTACCATGCAGAAGTGCATTAACGAATACTGTGAATCCCGTATATTGAATTGCTCAACAAAGGAGCACGTAGGATATTGTAGCAAATTCAGGCAGGTATTGCTTGGGGGGAAAATTAGGACATTGAGATCGACTAACTTGCTTGGTGTTTTAAAATCTGCAAAATAAAATCATGTATTGATTTTAAAAAATCTTGCTCAGGTGAGCTTCTTTATTTGACTGTCATCAGTAATTGGCCACCAAAGGCAACACAAATAAGGGCAGGGTCCATTTAATGGAGACAATGCAATACAATATAACATATGGGGGATAGACGGAAAATGGTTGGTGTCAATCCAACATTTCAGTTGATATTAATATCTCATTAAAGGCTTCAAACTGCTAAATGGCGGAAAGGAGGGTAGGGTATGTATGAACCTCTTTCCCCTTCTTTGTAATATACAGGAGAAATAATCCATAATTCAAGGATGAGCCTCAAACTGCTAAATGTCAGAAGGGGGGGGGGGGGGTATTTTCCCCCTCCTTGTAATATGCAGGAGAAATTATCCATAATTCAAAGATGTGCCTCAAACTGCCAAATGGCAGAAGGGGGGGGGGGGGGTATGGTCCTCTTTCTTTATAATATACATGGGAAATATTCAATAGTTCAAAGATAAGCCTATCTTCATGTAAAGATGTACACAAAGGCCTGACCATCAATTTGTTTGGTCATCACAATCACATTTGCTTGATTTATGACTGCTATTTGTAATACATGAAAAGAGACAAGCAAATCACTGTGTAATACATTTTACCCTATGTAATTACTTGTCTCTGGTTTTTCTCTTAACAGGGTGTGAAGATAAAGGTATCCACTGTAATTAAGTTGTATAAAATATTTGTACATATTAAATGACACAAAGGAAATAAAAAAAATAAACATTTTATGCTATTAGTCTCTTATATTATGTTTTTTGTACTTGTTTGTAATATTTCTTGAATTCTGGCACTTGGATTAAGTATATGACACTAAGAACTATAATTATATATACATGTATATGAGGGTTGTCCCAGAAGTAATGCACTACAGTGTATATGCTCTAACTTTCTTAATATAATTCATTACAGCTGACATTTTATGTATATTGCAGTTGAAGTATAAGCTGTCATATCCTGAAGTTTCAGCATCATATGTTAATATTAAGTCTTGAAATGGTTGCTATGGTAACATAGGGCAGGGAAGGGCGGGGCATGTACCAATTATTCTAATGATGAAAAGATCTTTAGTGTTATTCTATTCAAATTTCTTTCTTTTAAATGATAAAAATGTTTGGGAAAATGTTAAACTTATTCCGCATGATGTTCATTAAGCACAAATCATGACATTTACAGGGTGGTCCAAAAAAAGTGAACCCCTGCAAAAGGTTATATTTTCCTTAATACATGCATGAACTGGCTCATATCATCACATCTTGTAGAGAAAGGTCTAAAAATTTTGTTGATGCCATAATTTATTCGCAGTCTTGAATTTTGAAGAAATTGTAAGACTTATACAAACATGCCTAAAATTAGATAGTGTGCAAAACTTTACTAACTTTACACAGAAATTGTTGAAACACATCGGATGATCTTAAAAAAAGATTTCAGTGGAAGATATAAGTTCAAACCATACCATATGACAGATGGGGCATTATTTGAGCAGAAAACACATTTTACATTTTCATTGACCATTTTGAAGCAGTTGTAACCATTCAACAGATAAGGGGCATGTTACCTACACAAACGGTTAGAGGGGGCAAAGTTATCCCCGTGACCCAACCTCTGAGAAGCCCTTCATCTTAATTATGTTACAAAAATCAAAAGGAAATCTTATATTCAGTGTTATGAGCCATATTTTATTAGAATTGGTCCATAATAAATGACGATATTGACATTTTAAGACCATATAGGGATATGTAGCTATTTCACTGGAAGAAGTTTTCATCTTTGGAAACTAAGAACATTTCTTTGGATCACAATAACTTTTCAACTGATGGAGGCAGGATGCTAATTTTTACACCATAATGTACAGGATTCAAATTCAAACAAATAAGAAAACATTAGGTTTTCAGACTGTGGCTAAAGCAGTTTCCATGGGAAGAGTGTTGAAGGGTTGAAGAATTGCAAATGTTGAAGTCCACATTTTATCGATTTTCAGTGATGTTTGGATAGCGCTTATAATTTCTGCCAATTTCAAGACCACGAAAAATGTATGGTGCCAACTAAAATTTTAGACCTTTCTCTACAACATGTAAAAATATGAAAGGATTCCTGCATGTAATAAGGGAAATATAGCCCGATGCAGGGGTTCACTTTTTTTTGGACCACCCTGTAGCATTGTGGTGTCATTATGTCACAGTTCAATAGTCACAAATTCAAATTCAGTCACAGGTGGTAGAGCCCATGGTCACAGTCAAGAAATTGCAAAAATCGCTGCAATTCTCAAATCTGATAAGAAGGCTTTGAGTTCAGCGGCCTAATTTCATACTTCACTTAAGACTCACAGCCACACAAATTCATGCTAACATATTATAAATAAAATATATAAGGAGTATGCCCCATATAGAACTACACTTGTGAGGTGGCAGAAGATATTAAAATATGATGACTTGACCCTGGATGACAACTCCAAACCTAGTTTGATACACGAGGATTTCAGAACATTCAAGCATGAATAAAACTCTGCATATTGTAAGCTTAATTAACTTAAGGTCAGCATTGGTTATTGTTAGTACCTCAGTTGAAATACTCGATTTTGATTGGTCAACGAGCGGTGAATAATTTTAACTGTACACCGCGCAATGCATTGCCGGTGAATAATATTCCCAGCATTCCACTAAAATGACGTCATTATCAGACGATAAAATGGCCGCCGCTAGCACTAGCCGTTTCAAAAATGTTGAAGATGAGGATATTATTAGTCTCTTAGAGAGTAAAGACAGTCAAAATACGAAGAAAAATCTAAAACTTTGTACAAAGCTTTTAGTGGACTTCGCCCAGGAGAGTAATTTGACTCCATTGAGTGAACTTACTGCCGATATACTGAAATCATCTCCGGAGGGTCTGGATCCAACTTCAAGTCAACTTCAAGGGTCAGAAAAATCTAAGATATTCTTCGGACTAACAAAACAATTATAGACCTCTCCATTCGGTTTACTGTCAAAATTATATCCCTCGACTGTAAACCTCGACCTACGGTCTCGGTTTACAGTCTCGGGATATAATTTTGACAGTAAACCTCTGGAGAGGTCAATAATTGTATACTGTACAATGAGAGGTAAATAAAACTTGACCTGTCCAATTTTATATGCAGGAGCTGAACAAGCTTTTAACTTCATTCAATTCATAAATCAAATTATTTCATAATTTTCATTAATATTTGGAAAAGAAAAAACAAACAAATTACTAGGTTATCCTTTGGCATGTTCAATCAACTGCAACCTTAAGCAGATTGTGTGTGGAAAAAATGCATGGTGTGGATATCACGCACACGGTGTAGAATAAACAGTCCCTTTGAATTTGAATTTGTGATATTATAATAATCATATAATAAACTAATTTTTGGAGTGTGCTTGGTATTCAATTGTAATCATACATTTGTTTGTGTAGATACCATGTAATACCTAATAGATAGTGACGCAGATATCTGCTCTACATATTCCTGAGAATTTTCCTTTTAATTTGTAATAATATATGTTATTCATGTAGTAAAAATTAAACTGTACACCTTCAGAATGAATGTATTCATTGTTTAAAATGTATGTCTGTGGGTGATATACAATAATGGAGCAAATTATACGTTTAGTAACACAAGCGTCACATTCTGATTCATCAGTTTCTCTTTATCTAAAGCAATCCCCAGGGATAGTAGATACAGTGGATCCCATAATGCAAGCAGGGTCTTGTCCCCGGGGCCTTATTGTCTCAAGAAATATAGATATCACAATTTCTTAATTAATAGTATTTATTTCTTCATGAATAACTTATAATGTTACAAAGAGCATGTTGAAGAGTCCTCGTATCAGTTCCCAGTGAGAATATGACACCATTGTGATAAATATTGTACGCTGAAGACCAAAATTGTCACCATGTATAATAGACCTTTCTAATAAATCCAAACCCCTAGTAAACTAAGGTATATTGGCTAGATTTATGATGTAATACTTTACATTGTAAAGAAAATTGAAAGAAGTTTTTGAAAATTAGCAATATTTTAATCCTATTTCTGCACTGAAATTGTTAGAATGACATCATAACCAATAGATGGCATGATTTACTGGATTGGTCTATTGCCTCTAGTCCTCTTGCTTCATATCCGTTCAGCTTCAATGTTTACGCATGCTTATGTTACCACCCTAGGGCACGTCCGTCGGGGAGCTGCAGTGTACCAAGCCAGATACTAGCCTTGAAGGGGGGTGTGTGCTAAATTCAATGCCCAATGCGAGAATCGAACCCAGGACCTTCTGCTCTTGAGTCATACGCTCTACCCCTGAGCCATAAAGGCTATAGCTAGCCACTATAGCTGAGACTGTAGAAGCGACTTGATATCGAAAGTCATTGGTTTTAAATATTTGATAAATATCTGATATGAATAATTCTTCACGGTTTAAACCTCATTTCTCTGTCTTTTCAAGATTCATTCAAGACGTTTTCCTTGTTGTAACCAATCCATAAAATCTCGAGTGGTCATTGGTTCATACATGTATGTAAACTTTCATATTCAAAAATATTTTCATCAATATGTTATTTTATAGACTCTAATCTTTATTAAATCGTTTGCTATTTTGGTAGTCGCTATTCACGTAGTCGGAGAATATACTAGCATTCGGTTATACGTATGTTGTGGTCATCCGGGAATTTCTACTGTGGCATATACTCCGTGCAGTTGAAAACGAGGCTGAAGCTGGAGACAGGGAAATGCACCCTAATATTTGTAATCATGTGATTGGTTTGTATCCAATGAGAAAGCAAGAAACATGCAAGTGATATAATAAAAATGTATATTGCACAACTCAATTGGATCAAAAATGTGAAACATGATGTTGAATGCACCTTTCCGAAATGCTTAGAATCGGTGACTTACTCATCAGCTAACTGACAATATATGTGTACCTGTACATGTATACAAAAACCAAAATGTCTTACGGTTACAAATGAATAAACGGAAGGAGCTCATGTGTCTCGAACACACGCCCACATGGTTACAGCGAGCAGTGCCAAGCTTAGTTTGTTCAGTGCAGACTGCTAAGCCAACTTGACAACCCCAAAAAAGCTTGATTCATCAGAAAATCTTACTTGAGGAACCAGATGCCCAACGCTCAAAACACACCACAGGTACATTTAGTTCAACAAGTTAAACCTAGTCTGGGCCTTATTTCTAATCTGACATATCTTGTGGCTCGCCCTAGGTTTAACTTCCGTGCCTATTCGACCCTTGATGCAAAAAATTTAATGGTGGCCTATTAATAACTGATAGTGAGAATTTGCAACCAATGAAAGCATAGCACGGAAGTTAAACACAATCACAGCAACAAGAACATTCAGATTATAAATAAAAGCCGTGGTATTGGGTTTAACTTGTTGAACTAAGGTACATTGTAACATTCATACACAGAGTCATACACAAAACTAGTTGGACTGTTCTCAAACTTTCTATGCATTCTATGATTACATGTACAACACACAAAGAGGCAATATGATGACTGAAGGAAAACAAGTGGATTGACAAAAAAAAAGTTAGTTACTGTATGGTTACATTGTATGGGCTGCACAAAATTAAGAAATGTGAGATAAAAGGTTGGGCAAAATTGTAATGTGCTTCACCCACCAACTGAACAATTTTTTCTTGATCTTAAACGATTTTGATATGAATCATCATTAATCAATTGATGCATTAATTAATAAAAATGGCAATCAAAAAGGAATTAAATGTAGATTCTCACCATAGCGATCTAAATTAGCATCGCTTAGCACAATAACAAATCGTTCATCTGCCTCTTCTTCTTTGGCAATATCCTCTACAGCTTTCTTTGTGGCTTCAAGTGTATGGTCTCCACTCAGGCAAAACTGAGAGTGGGCTATCATCATCTAGAATGAACAGTGAAAATTGTCTAATGGAACACCTCTATGAGTGGTACAACTCTCTGAGTGGAGCAACTCTATGAGTGGAACATCTCTGAGTGGAGCAACTCTATGAGTGCTAACACATCTCTGAGTGGTACAACCCTATGAGTGCTAACAACTCTATGAGTGGAGCAACTCTATGAGTGCTAACAACTCTATGAGTGGTACAACTCTGAGTGGAGCAACTCTATGAGTGGTACAACCCTATGAGTGCTAACACCTCTATGAGTGGAACATCTCTATGAGTGGAACATCTCTATGAGTGGAGCAATTCTATTGAACACATCCCAAGTGGAACTTTTTTACATAAAAACTGACATTTTTATCGTACTTTTATTGTGGTCATCTTTTGCTGAAGGGTGTTTTTGCGTGTCCGTTCTAATTTACAGGACGTGACGTTCTACATGGGTTATTAGCCTAAATAGGACTGGAGTTTTGGAAAAAGGTAACACTTCAATTAAGGATAAATAAACAATACCTTCAGTGTATCTAATCTTTCCTTGTTGTTGCTTGGTACTTTTCCTTTAACAAATTCAAAGTTGGGACCTTCACCAGAGTGCCCAGATATCTCATACTGGAATATATATGTAACAAAATGTAGACTGTAGTAGCTACGAAATATGGCAAGGATTTAGCTAGTCATGATTAATTAAGAAATACAGTACATATATCTTTTGTTGACTGAGCTATCCGAAACCAGTGTGGCACAAAAGAAGATTGACTGTCACATACACGCTAAAACTGAACTGGTTACACCCTATTCACTCATTGAATAGTTAAATAATAAACACAAAGGAAATCAAACTTTAAACTGTACCTGACCTGTTACATACAGTGCAATGAGGCTGAACTAAATACACCCATTTTCTAAAATTGTGTGGGCCATTTACTTTTCATATGAGTCAGTGTGAGGTTAAAGTTAGATAAACCATTTTTACTGGCTTAAGGCACCCAGCTATTATTCCTCCCAAAATCTAGTATGGATAGTTTATCCATAACCTAACTACACTACACTTAATTTACTACATAATGCTACCATTATACAATCAAGTATACAAGATAAACTATATATAATTCACATACATAACACTTATTGACCAGTTTGATTCATCAGGAATGTTGAACTTCAGGTGGGTTCATATTTTCGAATGCATTATCAATAAAGTCTCCATACATCGCAATAATTTTTCACTCTGTTCATTGATGTTCACTCCTGAGAGGTCAAGGTCATTCCAAAGACATTTGGGGGCTGCTGTGTCAAGGTCAACTTTATGGGTCAATGTCATTACAAAGTCAGAGGTCAATATCTAGGAATTTGGTGTTTTAGGGCATTTGGCTGATGTGACGGCCTTGACGACCCATGATTAGGTGACCTGAATTAAAGGTCAACTTTTATTAGTCAAACTAGAATGGGTAAATTGCTATTTATAGGTTATCACCCTAAGATAACAGCTACAGTAGAACCAATGGGAGTTTGGTAAGATTTTAATTACATGCTTTTACCATTACAAATTTTTGTCAAATAAAATCGTGTTACATGCCACCATGTACCATTACCATATCCCCCTGTTGAAATAACAAGAGATAAATAACTTCAAAATAGTTAAGTTATTAACCTTAAATTTCTGTTCGTAATTCTCAAAGGCCTCCATGACCATAATATATTTTGCTGGGCTATACAAGGGGGGGGGGGGCTATAAAACAAGAGATGAAGTAACTTTAAAATAGTTATTAACCTTAAATTTCTGTTCATAATTCTCAAAGGCCTCCATGACCATAAGACATGCTTCCATTGAGCGCTCCAGTCTTTTATCATGTCCATCAAACCTGTACATGCTTCCAGAGACATCGACAACCAGCTTCAAAAGTTTGGGTTTCTGTTGTGGGGTCCCCATCTGAAAGTATATGTTGTTTCTATAGCAACTAGATAATAGTGTCTAAGAGTAATGAGAAATATATTTGCTATACAAATCAGTGTTTATGGTAATTTATTTTTACTATAGGATAGACCTTGTATCTGTGGTGTTAATGTATTTATTATAGCAACATGTAACCTTGTTAATGTATTTGTTACTTTTGCAACCAGTTACTATGGTGATTCCTGTTTATTAGTCTAAAATATTTCAGTGTCACTGTTAATAAAAAATATAATTTGTTACAGACACAATACTCTGACACCAAATACTGACACCGGTCTCAAAAATAGAGTGGTTAAATAAGTGTGTAACTATTTCTAAGTGATAATTGGGAGCTAATAATGCCACATGCTTTTAAGTGAACTTGTATGTAAATTAAATGTGTAGAACTATAGTACTTCGGGATTAGTTATCCACTCTGTTGTATCTTCTTGCCTGATTGAGTATAAAGGTATAACAAAAATAGTTGACATTAAGTCTCTGGAAAAACCCCAAGAAAGGGGAACAGTATTTCCCTGCAGGCCATAATATTACACATTTATTACACAGTCATGCACAATTTCTGTGAAAATTGTTGCATAACCTCCAATAAAAAGTAAACAAGGCATTAACATGCACAATTTTACCACCTGCCATTTGTTACAGATGCTGATAATTGTTATACACACCATTTGTTGCAGATGCTGAACACTGTCCACAAAACAGTTGAAGACTATAACAATATGTCACCACCAATATGTCACCACTTGTGGTGGTGACATAATACAAATGAATACCTCTGGATCCTGTTCACCCCTCCTTCTGTAGATTGACTTCTCTCCAGTTATTCCTTCAATGAGCTTAGCATCATCAAGGTCTCCATGTTGTTGGTGTTTCAACCATTGTCTCTCTTTACCCTTAGCCTAGAGAATTTGAAGAATTGAAACGCTGTACTTCTTTACTGTACAAACAGTATAGGTCATACTCATTTTGAACATTCACTCTTAAAAATTATTACTTGGATTTCCTTATATTGAGAAATTGTACTACTCATTTTAAGTCAAAAATTACTTAAATAATCTTGAACTACTGAAAAATTTTTAAGTAATTTTTAAGTAATCCATTTATGGTGAATTTACTAATGCAAGGAGAGAAATTGAAATACTTACTGTAGTAATTGTAATACTCATTTACATAATTAAGCAATTAAAAAACTCAAAATGACAATATAAGTTAAACCTAAGTAAAATGAAGTAAAACTAAGTATTTAACTTTAAGTAATTTTTATACTTGGGAAATACTTGGAAAATACTCAAGTAATTAATTTTTAAGAGTGTTGGAAAATTCCCTGACATTTTTCTTGTCCAATCTAAATTATCCCCGACCATTGAGAATAAAATAATTAGCAATTTTGAATTTAAGATAATGTCCCCTATCAATGATACTTATAAATTTGTTAATCCCTAGCTCACATAAGCTCCGATTCATGAGCCTGCACCCAGCCGATTGAGCATTTTGTTCAAAAATTAATGAATCGGCCTGGCGCAGGCCGATGAATCAGAGCTTATGTGATCGATGCATTACCTGCAGACTCTCCAGTATGACCCTAAGAGATGTCACTTGTTTCCTCACACTCTTTGAATACACCTCGTATAACTCCCCATCATACTCCGACATCTTTATCTCACGCAATCTGAAATTATAAGAAACTTTGTAATTGGAATATCTTTCGTACCTCAAAGTAGTGTATATTTATTTATTTAAGTGCCTCGTATAGAATACCCAGCCTATTTTAGGCTTATGGGGCACATTATACAATATATTTGAAAACAATATTATGATAAAATTATTAAACGAAGCTTGCTCTTTTGATAAGAGCAGCATTCAGGAATTTTCCAGTATGGCACCCTAATCTAAAATCATGTAATAAAAGTTTCAAAAGTTCATCATCAATAATAAGTTCTTGTTTTTGTAAAATATGTTTAACAGACAAAAGTAAGTCATCTCGTTAATTGTTAGAAGATGTATGTCAGAAGAAATATGATTCCCATTTTACAACATCCCAAGGTCTTTCATCTTGTTTTTTTTTATTTTTTTTTATCATAACTTTATTTCCATAAATCAAGTAATAATAATACATACATATTCATCTTGTTATAACGAGAAAAGATACGATAATTAGTTTTCATGATGGTAGTGTAACTAAATACTAATATTTAATGAGGCATATATACAGTTTGCATATAGTTGTTTATTCATCAATTAAATCAATGTTCAGTGTACAGGCAACTGACACCCATGCGGGTGTATATAGTTACATATGATTATATAACATAATTGTATTAATCAAGATGACAAGATATAAAACTGTTTTTAAAGATAGAAAGTTAGTAGAAAAGTAATAGAAGAGAAAGAAATATACATATATATAAGCACATATAGCTAAATGTTATACAGATCAATTTAATACTTGTCCAGATAATACTTTTTAAAATCTGACTTAAATTTATTTCTAGAATTCAGATGTTTAAAAGTTTCAGGTATTTCATTCCATGTTGTTTGTCCTATGTATTTAATGCTCCTTTGTCCAATTGTGGATTTAAATTAGCTCTAAGACTGAATCTATAACGTGTCCCTTGACCATAAGTTTGAGCATTTCATATGAAATAGTCATAGAATAAAGTTTGAGGAAATTCTTTAAGTCGTTTGAGACAGTTAAATACAAAAATACCAACATTTAGCTTTTGAATATCTTCTAATTTAAATATCTTTATTTTCTTAAATTGTCGAGATGAATCGTCTGTTCTAACACTGTTTGTAAGTAGTCTTAAGAATCTTTTTTGTACTTTCAGAATTTGAAACAATAGAGCTTTAGTTGATGTTCCCCAGATAAGAATACAATAATTTATATGGCTATATATAAGAGAGTAATAAATAGACAGTGTTTTCAGTAGGCTTGTCCAAAATTGCGTCCCTTGGACGTAATGATTTTCAAAAAATGCGTCTCCCTTCAAAAAACTGCGTCCCTTGAAAAAATGTTCCCGGGAATTCAAAAGTCACGTTTTTACACTGGATGAAATAAATTGATGAAATTTTGTACCACTGCTTTTGCTATTTATCGGTCTGAATCAGCGTTCTTGCAAGTCTAGTATGTCATTGAATGATACAGATACCATCATAACTTATATTCTCCCATTTAAAACACCTTTTCCTTGCGAATTTCGAAACAATTTGCTATTGATTTTGCTTTAGCATGTTTAGTTTAGGGGCAATCTGCGCGAGGTTCAACTTTTTAGTTCAGTTTCTTGCGCATATGCAGTCTCAAATAATGATCACGTGATCACACTTGACCAATTGAAAATGGTTTGAATCAGGTCTTAAACTACCGGCCAATCGTAGGACTCATACTGATTACTGCTCGGAAATCGAGTATTGTATAAATTTTTGTCCTATCACATGCCTCGTACTATTTCGATCAGAAATCAACTTCCGGGAAGGAAATTTCGAAAGAAAATTTTATTTCTTTTAGAAATAGAATTTTCTTCAATTATTTATTGGATTCTGACGAAATAAAGAGACTGAAGGTAAGATCTTTATCAAATCATTCATCCAAAGTTGATTGTATGAGTATGGCTTGCACTGCGTCCACAAAACGCAATCACTTTTTATTTCCGGGTCCATGGATTTTTCATTACGTTTTTGCAATACTTGGAAGGCGTTATTGAAATAGCAGAATAGACATCATTGCAGGGTGATTTATCTTATTTTTGACCTTGTAAAGAATTCCTACTACTTGTGAAATTTTGATGAGCAATATGTTCATTCCATTTTATAGTTTATCATAGATATATTTTGCTTCTCAATGAATTTTTCTTTTTAGTATTTTGTCCATTGTCATCAATGTTGAATTTTACAAATTCCTCAAATCATTAACTGTCTTAGTATAGACTGTCTTGCTTATTGCTGAATGAGTTACTTATCTTTATGAAAATCAAAAGTAAGTTTCAATATGTCTAATCAGTTACCCTTTTCAATAGTTTTATTTTGATTCTCTTAAAAGAGAGGTTCATTTACAATCTTTTAGTTAAAGATAATTTTTTGATCTGGCCTTAACCAATATGAATACTGAGAATACGGTTGATTGAAATTTACCACACAATTTAAAAAGTATTCACGGAATAATAAAACTCTCAATGAAGTCCATGTGGCTTACTTTGTGGTCATTTTGATCTTACCAGTAACAAATCTATATATATTTCTTTTATTTAAAGTCTAGGCTCTATCAACCAGGATGACGTATGTGCCTAAGGTAAATAACTGATTTCAACAAATAAAATTCAAGAGTCTCACCTTTGTTTCCAAGCTTTTTCAGCCATTTCTCTAGCAGCTCTCCGAATATGCTCTGGTACTGCATCCTTTTCTACCTGGGATACTTGATGCACATCCCCACCCCCATCCAACCTATATGGTCCTCCTACACCCCCTAGTCCTGCTGTGTCCCGACCTCCGGTTCCCCCGGCCCAAGTGTTCCCTCCGACATGTGGTGCACCTGTGTTAAAATCAATTATTATCAAATTTTATGATGTAGAGCATTAAAATATACTAAGATAACAAGGCAGTGATCTCCCCAGAATTAAAGCAAGTAGGCACAACACCAACCTGAGATTATGAAAATAGACTTGCACCCACCTGAAAATTCTCTTGCACCCACTTGAAAATGAGAAAAATTGGCATATTTTGACCAATTTTGGTCGGAATTGTGAAAATGAGAATTTTGCACCCACCTGAGAAAAAATCCTGGGGAGATCTCTGCAAGGCTTTAATAAACATGCAAAATGCTATCACCTGCTATTTGTTAAAGACGCCAAACACAAACTGTCGAGGGACATCCACAAAAAAGTTAGAGACTATACGATATGTCTTCACTTCTGGCATGGGCTTTCAATAGAAAACTTTCTCTTGCAAGCCCATGCTTCTGGTAATGACATAATAAATTACATTTTTGTTAATTTAAGCATGGGGTTTCAATTAGATGCTATCCAAATGATAAAAGTTGTACAAAAACAGAACAATTAATTCCATTTTGGTTTAATCCATCCCCCCTCATTTAATGAGTCTAAAAAACCTTGACAAGCTTTTCCATTGAATTAAAAATTCACATTCTTCACCAATAACCACTCACCCTACTTTGAACTTTCACAAATTTTAACATTAAGACACCATACCTCAAAAACTCAACGAATAATGCAATACAAATACAAAAACCTGTCGGATCTGTTTTTCCATGTTTTGGACCACCTAGTTCTTTATCACTCGGGGGACGTTCGTGCGTAATCTGTAATGGTCGGCCATCATCCTGACCAATCATATTCCTCCACTGTTGCATTGATTTTTCAAGATGGACCAATACAGTCTCCCACAGCCTGACACACCCTCCTGCATCAACCGTGACTACGTTGTCATTGGAAAGATTGGCCATGACAAGACTGACGTCTGAATTTGAAGACATCCAATTGGTGTAGGGAGACTGGTGTCTTGCACTGGAAATACAGATGCAGAATATTGTGCATCAGTGTTCTCTTGGATTTCTATTGCATTTTATTTTTTACTTAATACTCCATGAATATTCCAAATATGGTTAATTTTAGAATATGCTGAGAAAGAACATAGAACATGTAGAGTAGAAAAGAGTGAAAATACCAAGATATAAAGGAGTTAACTTAACATATGTTAGTCAGAATTTGACACTAGGGTACATCTGAGCTTGTGATTGGCTACTTACCCAAGAACTTGAATAATTCTGAACTTGTGATTGGTCAAATACAGATGTACCCCAGAACTTGAATGTATTTTAGCTTGAGATTGGTCACTTACCCTAGAGAATGCATCTGAGCTTGTGATTGGTTGCCTACCCTAGAACTTGAATGCATCTGAGCTTGTGATTGGTTGCCTACCTTAGAACTTGAATGCATCTGAGCTTGTGATTGGTTACTTACCCTCGAATTTGAATGTATCTGAGCTTGTGATTAGTCACTTACCCTGGCACTGGGATGTATCTCAATTTATGATTGGCTAAATCTGTTATTTCCAAATAACCAGTAAGACCCTGTGGTTTTGCTCCTGGAAAATAATATTGTAGTGGAGATTAGAATAAAAACTGCCTAAAGTGAATTTTGCAAACTGTATTCAGTATTCACATTAAAGGGTTGTTTACTTGTACAGATTCACTTTAATGAAAACAAGCAAAAATTGTTTTTAATATCATTCAATTCAATTCCAACTTAATCATATACATGTACCACATGTATGGGCATAAGCATCACCCATGGTGCCACCTTTTGTAAATAATATCTTTAAACATAATGATTGAATGTATGAATAAATTGAAATTGAATTTAAAGGGGCAATAAGGACTGTAGAGAAAATAGGAACGTTTTTTCATTTTTTCTGAGCTATCAAGGCAACATTTGGTTTAACATCTTCTTTGACATACCTATTTTCTTAAAATGTATGGATAAATTATCAATTTCAGCATTAAGAAGTGTAAATTCAGTTCAAAGCTTCAAAAAGGGGACTTCCACTTTTATATTTTTAAGATCCACCATGTTTCAAGAGGAATATCAGCTAAAATAATGTTTATCTAAGGGGTTTCTTTGTAGATAATAAAAATAGATGTTAGTCTTGATGAAATATCCAAACTTAAATATATTTTGACACTGGTCTATGATCGTTGAATGACCCCTCTGCACTAATTATTGCACCTTTAATTAATTTAATTTAATTTAACCTGGTCTATGTTCTACACATGACTGGGAAATAAGATGAGATATTCCCCGGCTGTATTCATGACTAGGAAATATTTTAAAATGATATTCCCATAAAAAAAAAAAATAAAGAAAAAAAAAATTCCCAGGCAGTGTATTCATAACTTTAATTTTACATATCCCTGGATATGTGTTCTGTTTTATATATTTTTATTCATTAAGATACAGTACATTGTTATCATTAATTAGATATCAATATTTTATTATTCAATTATTGAAACAGAGGAATATTAACAATAAATAATAAAACAAATGTTATTAATTCTATTTTGGGTGAACAACATAACATGAAAACATATTATATAGCATTAATTAGCATAACAACATATTACGTAACAATTTGAAATGTAACGTACCTCCAGGGAAGACTTTTGTTGGTACCTTCCAAGTTGGTAGCGCACGTATAACCATTCCAGAATCGGGGAGGTATACAATACCCGATTTAGCATTAGCAGAAGGAGGACGATTCAAAATGGCTGCGAACTGATCCTTAGAGATGTTTTTATTCACCTGCGGGAGTTCTTCCCTTGGTAGAGTGTAGATATCTAAGTCTGTCTAAAGAGAGGAAAAGCAATATGAATATTATATTTGTTAAAAATATTTCACCTTTTTTGGTACAGTCAGTTTAACAATGGAATATGTTCTGAGAAATTGTGTTTACAAGGGACAAGTGTTCATTAGAGAGAGGTGTTTAATATGACAGGTTTTACTATGTAACGCAATCAATGATGCAGTATATAATATGCCCTCTTTTATTGGATATATTATCAATCCACGATTATACAAGGCATTGCCATGACAAAATCTCCCCACCAAGAAAGAGTGGCTTGGTAAGTGGATGGAATTTGGTGAGGCCATGTGACGTCATAGTTACGTCACCACATCAGTTGTACCCATTGTCTCCCTCAAAGGAGAAGCCTCTAAGCTCAGTGCCACCATGATGCCATTTAACTAGCCTCCTCTTTCTCTACTTTAGACAATAAAATTATTTGAGCAACTCACATCAAGATCCGGGAAGCCAAGCGCTATAGAGGCATATGTTTCCCTCGTTACCATGACTCTATTGGGGCTGTCGAGGCTCTGACCAAGTGCCCGACTAAGGATGGTTTTCTCTAAAGGTGAACTCCCAGCTAGCTCAATGTATCTCCCAATTAGGGGGTCATCTAAAATTAAAATGAAACAGGTTCTCTTTAAGACCCATTTTATAATTATACACTGTATAACAATTGATACATTACTGTACAACAATTGATACATTACTGTACAACAATTGATACATTACTGTACAACAACTGATACATTACTGTACAACAATTGAATTACTAAGGAAGTAGAGCTGCACATTTTTAAGAGAACTTGTGCCTGAATGTCTACAAGTAATATTGTGACCAAGAGGGATAATTGTCCCCTCTATATCATTTTTTCAAGGGACGTAATCACAATTATTTGCCTCATACGATTAAACTTAATTGGGCAAGTAAATACTATTATATATCAACCAAGTAATGACATTTCAAAGATTTTATGGCGGCCATATTGGATTTCATGGAGGCCATATTGGATTTTTGCATTTTGCTAAAATTCCTCAAGGGTAAGACCACTACACCCACCCAGATATCACTACAGGTACCCTTACAATGCATAATCTGCAGAGAAAAAACTTAATCAGACAAAACAAGGTAAGCCCACGGCGCTGCCGGACTATATGAAAGGGAGAACTAATCCTCGGAGGACCATAAATCTATCCATTCATTAACAAATTCTCTTCAAGACATCCACAATATGTAGGTTAAAGGGGCAACAAGGCCTGTAGAGAGAAAGAAAATTTTAACTTTTCTGAGCAATCAAAGCAACATTTGGCTTAACATCTTCTTTGACATACCTATTTTCTTAAAATGTGTGGATAAACTATCAATTTCAGCATTAAGACGTGTGAATTCAGTTCAAAGTTTCAAAAAGGAGAAGTCCACTTTTATATTTTTAAGATCCACCATGTTTCAAGAGGAATATCAGCTGAAATAATGCTTATCTAGTTAGTTTCTTTGTAGACAACAAAAATAGATGTACGTCTTGATGAAATATCAAAACTTAATATATTTTGACACTGGTCCATGATTGTTGAGTGGCCCCTCTGCACTAATTGTTGCACATTTAACCCTACTGTGTCTTATATTGCAATAGTGACAATATATGATAGATCATTCAAATATTGATTTGTCCAGTGTACTGTACATACCCAAGTTGGATTGCTCTTCTGTGATTGGCTGAAGTACATAATCGCTGCCCTTCCTCCTCAGTACATATTTCCTACAATCAAAACAAAAGTAAATTCAATACCCCATGTGGGAATTGATCCTAGGACCCTTGGATTTAAGAATTAATTCTCTACCAACTGAGCTATAAAGGCTCAAGCAAATATAGCTGGGCTGTAACAACTTGCTATCCAGGGTTGTTACACTAGTACAGTGTACAAAATTGTAACCGATAGGATAGCAATGCTGTAGTAGTAGCTTGATATTCAAAGTCGTTACATATGTATTAATTAATGAAAACACAGAATGAAATTCTGCGCTAAGGGCTGATGTGAAAAAGTCTGTACTTACATATTTTCATCAGACTGTGTAAGAAGCCAAGTGTCTCTATCAACGAGATGCATGGATTGTATCTTAATAGGGACTGTAATACTGCAAGATGTTCCTTCCAGCACATTTAATACATCAATAGTTTGACTGGAAAAGATAAAGAGGTTCTTTTTATGACAATACAGTAAAACATGTAAAATGGAGCACTTCAAAAATCTGTTGCCCATTAACGATGCACTTCTGCAAGAACTCCTCTTAAGTGGAACCCAGAGTACCCAGAGGTTCCAAAACTATGGTCTTATACTTGAAAAATGATAATCTCGCTGTATTAGTATCCAACCCAATGTATAAACAAACCAAGGATATTTTGTGATATTTGTTTCAGTCTGACAAAGTATGTGATGAAAGATATGTGTGGGGTACTATTTTAAGCTGTTGAAGAGTGTTACATTCAATATGAGCCAAAGTGTAAATTTGAACATGATAAGGCTATTAAGAATAGGGCTGACATTGTATGAGTTATTGTTCAGAAATGAACTTGCCAAAGTTCCGAAATCCATTCCATGCTGGTCAAAATTACCAATTAATGTCTGTTCTATTTTCATTTGATAAAAATCGATCTACATGTACATTTAAGCTTTCTTTCTTTTTTATACAGTACTGGACATAACAGACACAAAACTTACCCATTTTCTTGATGAAAGACCACCATGCCATCTCCCTCGTGTGAGAACTCACTACACATCTTCCAAGTCTCCTACATTTATAAAGAATAGAGTCATTAGCATAAAGGTCAACATGAACTGTAAAATGTACTCCATGACTCAATCACAAATAAAACTTGATGCAAATGATGTGTTTCTTATTTCCCAAAGAATTGTACAAACCGTTGCTTTATTGAGGAAGGTGCGTGTTATTTTCCCTGCTGCTTCCTCCAGATAAGATGACATCAGAAGCCTTGTGACATCACCAGTTTCTGTGTTTATGATCAGGGTCACATTTGACTGGAAGAAACAATGAAAAGAACTGTTATAATTTCAATTTGATGACTGCTCATGTATACACATGCATAAGCTTTACCATAGATACAAAAATAGTGACTTAATACATGTAGGTCTCTCTCATCATTGAATCATTCATCCTTTAACCTCTTGAATCCCAGGCCCTAAAATTGGCATGAAACCAGAGAATTTTTCATTTTTTGCCAACTTTTGACATTTTACTACATACCTATACAACTTTAGATGCTCGACTTAGTAAAATTGGATGGCAGAGATCATTTCTACACGTTTTAAAACAATTTTTTGTGTAAATTGGATGAAAATTGTTCAAATGAGAGCAATTTTTGTGAAAAATTTTGTGACGGATTTTCTCGTCCCTCTGGGTTTCAAGGTCATTTCTGAGGTGACAAGAAATCTCGTCATTCTGGGTAGTCAAGAGGTTAAACTTCTCGGTAAGTTATGAAATAACCTGAATGTTGTTACAGAAGTAGACTGCTATTATAGATGCTGAACACTGGCCACAAAAAAAGGTTGAACAGTATAACAATATGTCACCACTTCTGGTCCTGACATAAAAAGTAATGTTTACAAGATACAAAGTGATGAATAAAAACTCACGCTTTCTTCATGGAGAATCACACAGTCATTCAGTGACGCACCAAGAGTGGCGAGCTTTACTTTTGGCTTCAACGATCTGTGTACCCCAAGGCCCATTGGAAACACATCGTAAAGGTCAATATGCGATATGAATCTGCTGTTTGGCGTCATGGTGTATAAACCAATCGGATTGCAGGTCACAACGTGTATGATGTCATCAGTTTGACTTGCATGGCGATACTTAGCTGAAATTCATGAATATAATATTGAAATACAAATACTGATAAACGAATCAAGATATTTTATAATCAAATATTTGAAAAATCATATTAAATGCAATTCAATAGACTAATATGCGATAGACGAAAACATGGTCATTAACATAAATATCTCCCGCAATGCATCACTTCAAGTGGGACAAATTTTCATTGGTCCGTTGATTAAACCAAATTCTACCAACCTTAAAACCATGTTTTTGCGTATTGTCGGGACGATAAAGGTCATACTAATTTCAAGTTACAACCCTCACAATTGATATAAGTCAAACATATTTAAACATGACCCCAAACCCGCGGTATATACACGAGAACTTCTTCTTTTTCATATCGAGTCATCGATTCTCAGCTTCCGGGAACTAAGTCAGTGACGTCACCGTAGAACATTTCATGATTATTGTCAGTTTTGAAAAATATTCGTGAAAAAGCTTTGCAGATTGCCATAAGGACCTATATTTTATCCATTGTGCAAATATCCAAATATCCAATATTCAAAATTGGACTCAGTATATTTCAATGGGGAAAAAACCCGGATGTAAAATATCTGTTGCCGGAATTGGAGCTCTTCAACAGGGGAGGTGAGAATATTGTTGTCATTCTGAACTATCACTTTGTCCTCAAATGAGCATAAATATCTTTAAATCCACTGAACCCCTAGACAACTCATCCTCAGACAATGCATCCCCATGACAACTCATCCTCAGACGGTTCATCTCCATGGCAATTCATCCTCATAACAACTCATTCACTGGACAACTCGATCACTGGACAACTCATTCACTGGACAACTCATACCCTGGACAACTCATCAACTAGACAACTCATTCAATGGACAACTCATCCCCTAGACGCTAGACAGCCCATCCCAATGAAAACTCATTCCCTTGAAAAATCATCCCCAAAAATCATCCCTCATCACTCATTTCCATGACAACTCAATCCATGGAGACCTCAATCCCTGGACAACTTCACCAATACTCCATTAACTAAATTAAATGCATTCTATTGTAACACTGTACCTTGGCAAACAGCCACATCTGCTATAATGTTGGTATCATCAAGTGGTATGGTCCAGTAAGCTTCTTGTTCTGTGAAGTGTTCTGATCTGGCTTCTGATCTCTCCAAAGGAAATGTCTGGGTAGCTACTCTTACTGGCCCCTATAATGGAAAACAGAAATTCAGTTATATAATAGGTATGAGTAGCTATTATGACTGGCCATAGTAAAAAATCGTAGTTTGATGATAGGTCTGGGTAGCTACATGTACTCGATCTGACTGGAATCTAATGAAAAATAGTTTTTTTTCAAGGATAAATCTGGGTTACAGTTGCTTTTTTGAATGGAAAAATATATGATGTTATTATTGAGGAAAGTTAAATCATAAGTCTGGGTTGGTACTAAGGCTAGGCCCCGGAGGACAAATTAATTTGGCAAATGGGTTTTGTTTACATAGTCTGGGAACAAAAGTCCTTATACGAGGTTCCATGTCCTTTTTAGAGGCGAGCTAAGCGACATATGTTTTCATGAACTAGAAGTGTTAACATGAGTTATTTTTTTAGAAAAATGATTCATGACACTTCAATTTGACATTGTACAGTATGTGGACTCACCTTTATTCTTAATGTTTTTGATTCTGAAGGACAATGTATCAATCCAGTTTTGGTACGACCCCCTTGTCTTGCAATATTCCATTGGCCTGACAGTTGAAACGCTGGAAGTGGGAACCTGTCAAAAGATAAATAAGTCAGTGAAAGTAGAAAAAGACCTCAAAATTCATCTGATTATTAATGACTGGAATTCACTACCAACAAGTATCATTCGATTAAGATCTTTAAAATTGTTCACACATAGCTTGGCAAGATGCGTCTGATTTCAGCCAATCCGAACACAGTACATGTACAGGATGGGCCAAAAAATTTTGCAACCTTTTTAGAAGGCAAAAAAAGTATCATAACATTATGGTATTGACATGAAATTTTTTTTACAGAAACTTAAGGATAGGCATATTTTACCATTCAAATACCCAAGCTAATACTGACTTCAATTTTTTTTGTCAGATGTTTGAATATTAATGGTAAATTGTTCATGTGTCCGAGATTTACCGATTTTCCCAGAAAATGTGATTTTCTATAATTTTATGTGATCATCGATAGAACATTTATTATGTTCACTAAATCTGCTGCAATCTTTGTTAAGTGGTGTATTGGGCGACTATTCATCAGGACTAATGAATCAAGGGGTATTTTGCTCCAGATATTCCATAGTGACTTTTGGCCTATGGTCAGGAGCGCTATCCTGCTGGAATATGTAATCACTTGGGGCTGAAAGAGCCCCCATTCTTGAAAGATGTCCCTTTTGAAGAAGATTAGTCCTAAGTCGAATGGCCACCCAATACACCAGATGCCAACCCCTGGGACTATCACACATGGGGGCACCTGGAGCAATGTATTGTAGTTAATGGTTATACCCCACAAATTATTGATCAACTATAAGAAGTTCTGCAGGATAAGTGGAGACGACTACCACAAGAACTGCTGGATCGCGCCATTGACCAGTTCAGTTCTCGTCCCCATGTGATTGTGAAGGTGAAAGGCGGATGCATTGAACATTTGTTTAATAAATAATTAATACAGTGTAACAATATTACCATAATAACTAGATACTGATATAAACCTGTACTAGACATTGGTTAAACAGTTATCAAAGATTGAAGCAGATTTAGTAAACATAATGAATGTGTTATTGTTGATCACATAAAATCATGGAAAGTCAGATTTTCTAGGAAAAATGGTAAATCTCGGACAAATGAACAATTTACCATTAATATTCAAACATCTGACAAAAAATGTGAAGTCAGTATTAGCTTAAGTATTTGAATGGTAAAATATGCCTATCCTTAAGTTTCTGTAAAAAAAATTTCATGTCAATACCATAATGTTATGATACTTTTTGTGCCTTCTAAAAAGGTTGCAAATTTTTTTGGCCCACCCTGTATTTCATATAACCTCACTGCATTATATGTATAACCAATAACTCACCCAAGGTCATTCCCTGAATGGTAGTCAAGGTGACAATTTTTATTAGAATATATTTTGTAGTGTGTGAAAATGTTTTAAGCCCAAGACTCGATGCTGGGCATCTCACACAAAGGTTGAAATATTGACCTTTTTGAGGAATGATTCAGTCCATATTGCATTTAGTCGTACTTCAAGACCATGGACTATCTACTCTAACAACTTGTATGTGTCACAAAGGCTCGAGCAAGACTACATTGCATTGAGAAATCATTAAATTAGGACATCTACAGGAGGAATTATTTCAAAATCTGCTCTTCCTTAAATAAATTGGGCAGTTTCAATAAACAGTTTCATTAGCAGCTTATAATTTTCATTCTCGAAATTTGATCTCTATTAGATAGCAATTATGGAAAATTCATCTTCATTTTCCCAGAAAAGTAATTAAAGAAGAGAGATATCAATTACTTCAGTAATACAATACCTTTTAATTATGTAGTTGAAAAATGCAGGCATGGTACCAAAATAAATCCTTTTCAATTTTACTGTGGCATGGCTGAACACAATATGTTGGACTCAATTGGGAAGGGGGGGGGGGGGGGGTGACTGGTGGTGGATGGGGGGGGGGGGTGACTGGTGGTACCTGAATTCCCCTCCCTCAACTTTTGAAGGGGTTTATAGTTTAAACCTTATCTCAACATATTGGACAGTATGACTTGTATTATGTGTAAAAAAACCTTGATAAATACAAACTAGGCCATGGTAATTAATCAAACTGTTTTGCGTCAACCTCATATATTTCAAACTGCCTAATGCATGAGCACTGGTGATCCACTCGATCAGCTGGTTACCAAAACGAACCGTTTTGGTAACAAAATGTCGGAAAGTAGAAGGCACGAGTTTTCTTTTTTCCTTATTTCACGCGTTGTAGGTAGAATCCCCACGTCGTTTTTTCTCACAACGTGCAGCAGTATCATATGTTTTAGAAAATGTACATGTTTGCGAAAAAATAGCTCAGAGGACAACAGAATCGTCGATTTACTTCATCACTTAAGTTACATAAACGGTTTTTCGAAAAACAGTTAAGATCTGCACTTTCAACCCAAACCGTTTATGTAACTTAAGTGAGGAAGTAAATCGACGATTCTGTTGTTTTCTGAACTATTTGTTCGCAAATATGTACAATTTCTTAAACATATGATACTTATACACGTTTGTGTTAAACAATGTCGTGGGAATTCTGCCTACAACGTGTAGATTAAGGAAACGAGAAAATCGTATCTTCCGGATGTTCCGACATTTTGTTACCAAAACGGTTCGTTTTGGTAACCAGCGTAATCGAGTGGATCACCAGTGATGAGGTAATTCCTCCTGTGAAATTATTTATTCTGTGAAAATTGCTACAACAGAGTATCAGAAATGTATAGATTGTTTCTTTAGTTTTGATTGAAGTTTGATGAAATTCTTTACAATTATGGACCATGGCCGCCATAGAATTGTTCTTGAGTCTAATTTAGTATGGAAAATATTCAATTTTTACAGAAATGTATGTTTTATTTTGTAATTTAGCTTCCTCTGATATGAGGATTTTGAGAAATATCCTTATCATGATCATTTACAAGAAAACAAAACAAAGTTTAACACAGAATTAAATATCTTAGCCTTACATTCAGATTAATTGAGAAATTCAGTATCACATGATTCAACCTTGGAATAAAATAACAAGTCATTCAGATTTTATTAATGAAAATGAAGTTAAAAGAATGGAATCAGCATGAAATGAAGTAAACAGATTTGTAGTTAACACTCTAAATTGTATGGAATGCAATGAAATCAGAAATTTTATCAAAATTAAGAAAGAAATATGAGATTTAGTGTGAGCAGATGGATATTCTTTGAAGGTCAAGTATAAACAAATATGATAAACAAGAATTTACTATTGATACATTAAAACCTGTTTACAGTGAATTCTTCAAAGTTAAGTTAATTGAAAAATTACCAAACCAATATGTTATGACTTTTCACTGATTCAAGCATGAAATTCATAATTTATCCAAAATTTATAACTTTCTTACAATATGAGAAATTACCCCAAAAATTACCAGGAAAATAAGCTGGCAACGCAAGGTTTCCATATTTTGTAACAGTACTGTTCACACATACAAGTTAAACTGTACATAAACTGCATTTCAACCTATTCTTATCACACATACAAACATGTACAGTACACAGTTTATAAGACAACATGTGATCAAAGCTATTGTTAACCTAATATAGAGATTTACGATACAGGGACATTCTTCAAGCTGGTAAAGGTCATATATGAATGGCAAAATCACTTCAGCTTATCAAACACATAAGAACACATGCAATATTCTTGTATATTCGATGATAAAACATGTGATCTATTGTCATGTTAAAGAATCATATTATGTGAAAATAGCTCAAAATTACTGACAGTAGGATCATGGACATAATAAAACAATACTCCAAGAGAGTGGATAAGGACTAATATATGGACCAAGTCATATACAGCAGTATCAGCCTGTAAGTGCTTCTGCTGTTTTTTATATTGCATGTTATGTTATATTGATTCATATGTATGAAAGTGTATGTCAGATGAATCCAATTTAAAATGCATACATTTTTTCTTTTTTCTAAATTGCATGTTATGCTATATTGATTCATATGTATGAGAGTGCATGTCAGATGAATCCAGTTGAAAATGCATACATTTTTTCTTTTTTTTATAAATTGCATGTTATGTTATATTAATTTATATGTACATGTAAGAGAATGCATGTCTGATGAATCCAATTGAAAATGCATACATTTTTTCTTTTTTTAAAAATTGCAATTGTTATGTTATATTGATTCATATGTATGGGAGTGCATGTCAGATGAATCCAATTGAAAATGCATACATCTTTTCTTTTTTAAATTGCATGTTATGTTATATTGATGCATATGTATGGGAGTGCATGTCAGATGAATCCAATTGAAAATGCACACATTTTTTCTTTTTTAAATTGCATGTTATGTTATATTGATGCATATGTATGAGAATGCATGTCAGATGAATCCATACATTTCACATGGGGAGGGCATTTGTACTGAAAGGAGCTTGTTCAACGTCGGAACAAGGACGACTTTCTATATACTGTATGGTCATTTTTATTGACGTAATCACATAATTATTGTGCCTGCTTTTAGCATGTGTTCCTTTCAGCTCGCTGATTGGTTGAGAAAAAGGTCAGCATGGTAGGTTTGAAATGATTAATGACCTAAGCTGTCAAGGGCATCAGTCATGGGGGGGGGGGCTGCTTAACTGATAGATAGTCAAAATTCTAAGAACATTTTAATTCCGTACATTTCTACACCAATAAACCAAAACCATTAATACAACCATGGTCTTTTGATACAACCCCAAATATCAAGTTATAAAACTAAATTGTTTCAGTATTTAACAAACAATTCCTTTATTTTAGATTCATCATGCCGAGACAGCCAGCACGTAATGGGAGAGAATCTGCTCAAATTCTCAATGACCACCCACCGCCTTATGAATCAACAACAATGCCATCTGGTGGTGCAATAGAAGATAGAAACCAGCCGAACTATCCACCTGATATGCAACCAAATCTACGCTCTATTAACAACAGCGAGGATGATTATCGCGGTACTTGTGACACTTTATTTGGGCTTATAGCAATTATACTCTGTTTTGACCCCAGGCTGAAGGGTTTACATCGTGCAATCATTGCATTCGTTTGGATGGCCATTCTAGCTACTGGAATCGCCTTATCGGTGAGATATCTTGAATTTAGACCCGTAAATTATGATATCAATCCAGGAGACAACCGACCATTGAATGAGAGATTCTCAACAATTTTCTGCAAAAGTCTAACAGCGACAAAAACTCGGGTTATTCTAAATCCGGCACATTCGTCAAACAATAAAAATCTTGAGTTGGGTGCATCAGATGATAATTCAAATGATGACGAAACATCAGTATACATGTATCTGCTGACGAATTCAAATTTAAACAAAACACTCACATGGAGAAATTTTACAATGAAGACTTCTGTCCCTGCAGGTCAATACACCTATTGGCGTTTCTACCTCAATTCTGGCTCAAGATTGATCCTTAACTATAGAATAGACAATACTCAAGTCCAAAGGGAATTTTTGGCCATTCGTGGAAATGACTCTTTCAGTAAATGGATGAAGACTGGGATATGTGATACAAGCTCGTGTGAGGCAGTATATGTGTCAAGCACGGGGTCGTATGACACAAAAAATATCACTAAACCAGACACATATTTCTTTATCTTCAAAATAAAAAGTATTTACATCCTACCATTCCCAGAAAGTGCAATGATTCAGACTGACTTTAAAGTTGGACAGACAACCTACGAATATAAAGACTACACTGAAAAATGTAACTTTGAAACAGCTTTTTCAACACAATTACAGAGGCCACCACCGGCGGGAAAAAACACTGTTCAAAGTTGTAAATTCAGTTTTGGATTTGGCACGAAGGAGTTCATGTTGATTCATGCTCCTTTCTTTATAAACAGAGCAAACACCTTCACAAGGTTTATAGACATGGTCAAAACAGAGTGTGAAGCGAGCATTCCTGCCTATGTTCTTTTATGCGCATGTGTTCCAATGGCATTTGTAATAATTTACATGCTATTTGTATCTTTAATATGTTCACTTCAAAAGTCTTTAATCCAATCACATCTAAATTGGGAAAATGCTCATGAATACAGAAGCCCATCAGGACGGAATTTTCCATCAGAACGGAATTTTTCATCAGCTGAGAGGCAGCCATTATTGCAAGAAGCACCACCTAGTTACTCTGAATCACTTGGTTCAGTGCCACAAGGTGTTCCCCAAGAAAGTCCCCCGCCATACAGTCAAATCTAGAGTGGCAGCAAAGAACAGTGTAAAATAACCTTAAAATCAGACCATTACCATAAAAGTCAGGACTGATGAACTTGAACCTCTTGACTACCTGGAGTGACAAGATTTCTCGTCACCTCAGAAATGACCTTGAAACCCAGAGTGTCAAGAAAATCTGTCACAAAAATGTTCACTAAAATTGTTCTTATTTGAAAAATTTTCATCCAATTTACACAAAAATTGTTTTGAAACATGTAGAAATGATCTCTGCCATTTAATTATACTAAGTGAGCATGAAAAGTTGTAGAGGTGTGTAGTAAAATTTAAAAAGGTGGCAAAAATGAAAAAGTGCAGACTGGGATTCAAGAGGTTAAGAATGTTGTGAGCAACATGGCATAAATTAAAAGTGCAGGGGTTTTATTAGCAGCAGGCAACAGGCGATTTTCACTGGTTGTTTTCACAAAATCACCTGTTGTATTTAGGGACTTTTCAACTTTTCCCTGTTAAATTTATGATTTCCATCAATTTTGCCTGTTGTTTTCATTTATTTAGCCTGTTGTGAGAAATTCTAGTGAAACCGCTGAAGTGAGAGAAAATTATCATTTTAACCATACTAATCAAAGTTGGACAAATTCTTGACATTTTCAAGATTGCTCTCCTTTTAAATATTTTCTAACTGAAATCACGTGGGTGAAACACTTGCTTTAATGTTGGGAAGATCACTGACGAAGCATAAATGTAATGTGACTCAAAGACATAAAAGCAAGAATTCTCGAAATATAATGCAAGCCAAGAAACTCATGAAATATTCTTGATTTGAAGTCTGAGGTATTCTATACATAAAATAATATATTAGTCATGGTCCTTTGAAAGATCAGACCTCTGCATTCCTTGAAAATGCCAATGTTTATTATTGGGACATGCTGTGGGTTCAATTCCCACTGAGGTGGAGTGACTTTTTCCCATCAGCCCTTAGCGTAGGATTTGTTCCTACATGTATGTTTCAAATAAATTGGGACTGCATTATTTGTAAAAAGATGTCTTATATGTATACTTAACATTATATTGTTTTATTACAAATATTTTATTAATAAATATAGTACATTACATTTCTTTTCTCTTACATTTTTCATTCTTATGGTATATTAAAATAAACAAAGTGCATAATTTGAGGTAATTGTGAACTTTAATTCCAAGCATTAGTTATCTTAAATATTATCTGTGCAACAAAATTTTGAGGTATATGTTATAATAATAATGGAAATAGAATTATTACCCATGATGGAATTTTCCATAAGGCTGGAATTTTCCACCAGCATGGAGGCAATCGCTGGAATTTTCCATGGATTTCTCCATCAAGAGGGAAATTTCCACCTGCTTTAGAGTAATTATAGTTGCATTTATTATACAAAATGAATTACAGTGAAACCTGTGTATAGTTAGCACCCTTAGTTTTGAATAACTTTGAAAGTTGATCTAAAGATGGGCCTTTAGAGGTTGGACATTTACAGTATCAATCAAATGGGAAATATGAATTCTTCAGGAGTTTGTTCATATTCACAAGAAGGTGTTCACTTAGACAGGTTTTACTGTACATAAGGAAGTCCAAAAAGTTCCTGAGTCCAATAGGTGTTCACATAACACAGGTTTTACTGTAATATTCTTGAGCCTAACGGCTGTGTTCTTACTCTTTGGCCAGCTCCACATTGGTTGGTTTCGCTCCAATTGGGATTCCGTGTTTTTGTAGGGTTTTTACTATGGTTTCTTGTAGTTCTTCATTGTAACTGTCAAAGTCGAACACGTTGCGAACAACATTTGATAACCCTTCATTTGGAAATTTCTGAAAATAACAAGTTGAGGAAGTAGATCTATATACTTCAGAAAATCATAAGCAATATTGCATTTTTACGTGAAATTAAAGTGTATCATTAAATTTTTTCCAAAAGATGCTGAATATTTTGAAAACAAACTGACAGATTACATGCTGCAAATTACATAGACTTACACTTAGAAATGATTAGAACACATTATATGCAAAATATTTTAACAAATGTTCTTATTGAGTGAAAATACAAGAACTTAGAGTAAAATCCATTCATGATATTCTAGTATCACTGGATGGACAGGTGGGACATGATGGTTCACAAATGTTTTCATTTTCCATGTGACTCTCTCTTATTCAAAATTTGAAGGAACTGCCATTTTGTTGCATTCATATACAATTCAGAGTGTTGAATCAACAAAACATGTATGCCTTTGCAGCTAACTTTATTTCTTTTTTGCATTTAAAGGAAATTGAAATAATTCAAATGCTGTACCTGTAAATGTTTCACCATATTGACAACCTCCCTAGTGGAGTAAGGATATGATATGAGTCCCTGGTCAGCCATATCTCGTAATTCTCCAATTGCAAGGACCAATTTGCGAAGTATATGTTCCTCAACATCTGGCCCGTATTGTCGTAGCATTGCCATCTCAGAGTCAATGTTTGGGTTGTCAACTGCATGAGCACTGAATATGTCACCTGAAAATTAATGTCACACGAGCAGTGAGTTATGTCACATGAGGATTGAGGATTGAATTATGTCACATGAAAAAGTAAAGCCACATTAGCAGTGAATTATGTCACATTGCATGAAAAGTAATGTCATGCGAGCAGTGAATTATGCCACATAAATAGTAATGTCACATGAACAGTGAATTATGTCACCTGAAAATTAATGTCACATAAGCAGTCAATTATGTCACATGAATAGTAATGTCACATGAGCAGTGAATTATGTCACCTTAAAAGTAATGTCACATGATGAGTATTTATGTAACTTGAAAACGATATTGCATTAGAACTGAACTTTTAAATATCTTAACCAAAGGGGGTCTACACCATCATAATGTTATCTTCAAATCAACATCATTTAGAAAAAGTTCAGCGAACAACCTAACATCAATGAGTGCAAATAGAAAGGTGCTTTCTCATGTTCATGAATGGCCTTAAGGACTGTCAATAGATGGCACAGAATTCAGTTGGTCTAATTGTAATTTTAACATGTGCATGTAAAGATTTTTCCAAAAATATCCCAAGATCAACATTGAAAATATCCAAAACCTTATGATACTGACTTAAAACAATTGTAAGTAAATAATTCTGAAGAGAAAATTTGTTATGATTTTGATTCATATAGTGTTTTGAAGTTTTGATACAGCAATATTTACCCATGAACCAATGAGACAGATGTGAAGTACAATCCACAAAAGGAAATATTGAACTGCCATCTATCTGTCTATATGAGTCTTCACAAATATCAATTTACTTGAGTATAGATGCCACTAGCAACATACAAGTGTTTCTTCACATTTCATATTTATGTAGTCCTTCAAAACCAAAGTATTTTAGAGGGCACATCCGTCATACAAAAATTAGAGAGGTATCACAAGTACAATTAAAAAAAAAAGATAAGAAATACTTAGCCCTTGGCACCAAAGGAAGAAGAATTACTCAGATGCGAGTAGGTAGTTACCAGTTTCGCCACCAGGTGGCTGATTCGGGGGAAATAATATGGCAGGGTATTACAAAATTCCCTTTAACTTGAATATTCATCAGTTTTAGTGGTTCACTTTTCACATTACCCTTATGTATGTGATAGTTATACAAATTAAAATATGTCCAGTGAAAGAAAATATTATCTGCCCAAAACAAGAAAAGATATTTCACTTTTTGTGGTTTTACAACATGGGGTCTATGGGGAATCTCCCCGACCTAGAAGTCACATTTTTAAAGAAAATTAAATTTTCAAAATTGATAAACTATTTTCAAAACCACATTTCTAGGATCTAACGATCAATGAATTGTGAATTTTTAACTACGCAAATCAAGATTATTTCTACTCGCATCTAGACTATTACCTATGATTACAAAACAAGAATGTACACATTTTCCCACATTACTTAAGTAATAGAGGTAATACCCATACCACAAATGAAATCGGGGACTTGCTTCTGCATAACACCAAATTGAGAGATGTATCACACATAACACAAATGCAAAAGACGTATTGCTTACCCATATGGCCAAAGTAAGAGAGGTTTTGCTTGATACTCATAGTATTGAAGCAAGAGATGTATTACCCATTAAACCAAGACAAGAGAGGTATTACTTACCCATAGCACCAAAGAAATCATTTCCCAGGAAAGGGAACCCTGGCCTATTGGCGAGAATAAACATTCTGAAGTCTGGGTGAGCTACTATCACTTTCTCACTGCTGGGAATTCCTGAGTGTGCTGAAATAGAAATCAAAGAGCTTAAGAATAAATCAAGGAGCTTGAGGATAAATCAATGACCTTGAGGATAAATCAATGAGCTTGAGGATAAATCAAGGAGCTTGAGTTAATCTCTGAGCAATGAAATAGTATACATGAATGAGCTTAAGTTAATGAACAAGAGAATGCAGAACATCATCAAGTTACACTTTTTATCAATTAAACTGAACATCAATGAGCTAGGCTTTATCAATGATGTGCATCAATGAGCTTGGCTTTATCAATGCTGTACATCAAAGAGCTAGACTTTATCAATGCTGTACATCAAAGAGCTAGACTTTATCAATGATGTGCATCAATGAGCTAGACTTTATCAATGCTGTACATCAAAGAGCTAGACTTCACCATTGGAAAAAGAATATTATACACCAATGAGCTAGAGTTTATCATTTAGCAAGAGAATACCACAATGAGCTAGAGAATATTTTAATAGCATAGCAACTTGCAGCGCTTTTTCGGCTTTTATAGCTCATTTATTTTCTTTACATTATACATAATACATAGATTATACATGTAGTAGGAAATATAAAACATAAATACCACTGACAATTCTTCTACCATCAGCTAAATGCATTTCTCCGGATTCAACGAGTGTCTTAAGAATACATGTGACATTAGTTGGAGCCTTGTCTGCTTCATCTATGACTAGAATGTGTCCTAACTTTACTGCACGCACCTATGATGGAATTACATTATACACAATTATGACAAGTGTCTTAAGAATACATGTGACATTAGTTGGAGCCTTGTCTGCTTCATCTATGACTAGAATGTGTCCTAACTTTACTGCATGCACCTATGATGGAATTACATTATACACAATTACAATGTGTCTTAAGAAAACATTTGACATTAGTTGGAGCCTTGTCTGCTTCATCTATGACTAGAATGTGTCCAAACTTTACTGCACGCACCTATGATGGAATTACATTATACACAATTATGACAAGTGTCTTAAGAATACATGTGACATTAGTTGGAGCCTTGTCTGCTTCATCTATGACTAGAATGCGTCCTAACTTTACTGCATGCACCTATGATGGAATTACATTATACACAATTACAATGTGTCTTAAGAAAACATTTGACATTAGTTGGAGCCTTGTCTGCTTCATCTATGACTAGAATGTGGCCTAACTTTACTGCACGCACCTATGATGGAATTACATTATACACAATTACAATGTGTCTTAAGAATACATGTGACATTAGTTGGAGCCTTGTCTGCTTCATCTATGACTAAGAATGCGTCCTAACTTTACTGCACGCACCTATTATGAAAACAATGACACTATGATGACAAGCAGAACTTGCATATTTATAGGGCATATTCGGTTAAAAACCGAACTGAACAAGTTTTTTAACTGAATGAACTGTAGAGGCCAATAATGGTCGGAGCTCCGTAGTTTAGGTTAATCATCTGACCATTTATTAACAGACAGGCAGATGAAGATGTTCCCTATATACCCCCCGTTATGGGATATATATCCAACTATTGGCTCTTTAAAGTGGCGATGTCACCACTGGAAAATTGAAGTATCAGGTGCAATGTACTGATTAACTTATTGAATTCCACAAAATGTGTCAAAGACAGTATAAGATTCTGTATAGGTGATTAAAGCACTTAATTGCCTATCACCAGACAGCCAGTGATTGCTTTACAGCTTCAAATGTATAATGTATTTCAACAAAGAATACTCGAGAGGACAACATCCTTTAAAGCCAGAATCAGATCTATATAGGGTGACAAAATTGCAAGCAATATGTTCAATTGACCTACTAATGTATTCCTTACAAGCTCAAATACTATAAGTTATTGAATGGTTTGAAGTGCAATGCAGGATATATTCTGCTTGAGAGATTCCGTACTGGAACGAGACGAAGTCGAGTGCCAATACAGAATATCGAGAGCAGACTATATCCTGTATTGCACTTCAAATCATACTATAACGTTTTTATCGTGTAATCTTCTGTATAATACTGAGAATGTCCCCTCAGTACCAATATTTTCTGTATTGCGACGGCGATGATCAATGGGGACAATCTTAGTAGCAATACAGATTGGTACAGCACAAACTGACCAATCAGAAGGCTTCATTTTACAGATCATACGATAAAATATTATACCAAAAGATCTTTAATATGTTATGAATTGGTGAAGTTATTAAGAATTTATTATTTTTCCCAAATAATAAAAATAGAAACCATAACATAGGAAAAAATAAATATATTTAGGTTTGCTGGAATAAAGTATGCACTTCTGGGATTTTTGTAAAATAGATATGACAAGGAATCATATGATCCAAAAATATTCAAAAATTGAAATTGTTTTAGCTTACTCCTTAGATCTGGTTCAACGCAAAAACGTATATTACAAGGTGATTAACGGTTGCCTTGGTACATCATTAAGTTAAAGTTGACTTACCAAGGGAGAGTCTTCATACACAATGACACCATCTTGCACCGTGGGCTGCAGGGTCAGAGTCTGTACTGTTGTATCCCTGAATATATATGAACATATATTTACAGGGGGTTCAATGTATAAAATTGTCATATTTTACCTTCAAAGGATAGGTATCGATATGGTGAACTGAATTCAATAATGCTTTTCTCTTAAACCAATTATTGAAAACATTCTGTAAAAAACATATTTTATATATGTTTAACTGTTTTTGTTAACATTTTTTATTTTTTAGTACAATTGTTCTTTGTTCCTTTCTACCAATTCTTGAGAATGAAATAAGATGTCTTTCTGAACTTTGTCGGAACAAAATGGCATATTCAGCATTTTCTTAGACCTCTCAATATTATAGAACTACAAAGGAAATTTTGGTTGATTTATGAAAAAGTATGAAATTGTCATATTTTATCTTTGAATTTTCATGACTAAAAAACAAGGACTAATAAGTATACACTCGTCATATTTGGAAAGTTCAAGGTAGAAAACTCATGGTAAAAGTATCAATAATCAATAAGTATGTTTTTCTCTAACATTCCATATGTGTTGATGAAGCAACCAAATGAAAATCTAATGGAAGACTATTTTGGATGAGATTCAAAACTTTTAATCAAAATTCTAGTGAGGCAGTTGCCTTGAATGCCTCACATTCAGCGACCCCATGAATGATGTCGACTGTTGAGGTCCAAAGAGAGGCCTCACATTCAGCAACCCCATGAATGATGTCGACTGTTGAGGTCCAAAGAGAGGCCTCATATTCAGCGACCCCATAAATGATGTAGACTGTTGAGGTCCAAAAAGAGGCCTCACATTCAGCGACCCCATGAATGATGTCAACTGTTGAGGTCCAAAGAGAGGCCTCACATGCAGCAACCCCATGAATGATGTTGACTGTTGAGGTCCAAAGAGAGGCCTCACATTCAGCGACCCCATGAATGATGTAGACTGTTGAGGTCCAAAAAGAGGCCTCACATTCAGCGACCCCATGAATGATGTCGACTGTTGAGGTCCAAAGAGAGGCCTCACATTCAGCGACTCGATGAATGATGTAGACTGTTGAGGTCCAAATAGAGGCCTCACATTCAGCGACTCCATGAATGATGTCGACTGTTGAGGTCCAAAGAGAGGCCTCACATTCAGCGACCCCATGAATGATGTAGACTGTTGAGGTCCAAAGAGAGGCCTCACATTCAGCGACCCCATGAATGATGTTGACTGTTGAAGTCCAAAGAGAGGTCTCTGGATGAGATTCAAAACTTTTAATCAAAATTTTAGTGAGCCAGTTGCCTTGAATGCCTCACATTCAGCGACCCCATGAATGATGTCAACTGTTAAGGTCCAAAGAGGCCCCTCACATTCAGCGACCCCATAGATGATGTTGACTGTTGAGGTCCAAAGAGAGGCCTCACATTCAGCAACCCCATGAATGATGTCGACTGTTGAGGTCCAAAGAGAGGCCTCACATTCAGCGACCCGATGAATGATGTCGACTGTTGAGGTCCAAAGAGAGGCCTCACATTCAGTGACCCAATGAATGATATCCACTGTTGAGGTCCAAAGAGGCCCCTCACATTCAGCGACCCCATGAACGATGTCGACTGTTGAGGTCCAAAGAGAGGCCTCACATTCAGCGACCCGATGAATGATGTCGACTGTTGAGGTCCAAAGAGAGGCCTCACATTCAGTGACCTCATGAATGATGTAGACTGTTGAGGTCCAAAGAGAGGCCTCACATTCAGCGACCCCATGAATGATGTCGACTGTTGAGGTCCAAAGAGAGGCCTCACATTCAGCAACCCCATGAATGATGTCGACTGTTGAGGTCCAAAGAGAGGCCTCACATTCAGCAACCCCATGAATGATGTCGACTGTTGAGGTCCAAAGAGAGGCCTCATATTCAGCGACCCCATGAATGATGTAGACTGTTGAGGTCAAAAAAGAGGCCTCACATTCAGCGACCCCATGAATGATGTCGACTGTTGAGGTCCAAAGAGAGGCCTCACATGCAGCAACCCCATGAATGATGTTGACTGTTGAGGTCCAAAGAGAGGCCTCACATTCAGCGACCCCATGAATGATGTAGACTGTTGAGGTCCAAAAAGAGGCCTCACATTCAGCGACCCCATGAATGATGTCGACTGTTGAGGTCCAAAGAGAGGCCTCACATTCAGCGACCCGATGTATGATGTAGACTGTTGAGGTCCAAAAAGAGGCCTCACATTCAGCGACCCCATGAATGATGTCGACTGTTGAGGTCCAAAGAGAGGCCTCACATTCAGCGACCCCATGAATGATGTAGACTGTTGAGGTCCAAAGAGAGGCCTCACATTCAGCGACCCCATGAATGATGTTGACTGTTGAAGTCCAAAGAGAGGTCTCTGGATGAGATTCAAAACTTTTAATCAAAATTTTAGTGAGCCAGTTGCCTTGAATGCCTCACATTCAGCGACCCCATGAATGATGTCGACTGTTAAGGTCCAAAGAGGCCCCTCACATTCAGCGACCCCATAGATGATGTTGACTGTTGAGGTCCAAAGAGAGGCCTCACATTCAGCAACCCCATGAATGATGTCGACTGTTGAGGTCCAAAGAGAGGCCTCACATTCAGCGACCCCATGAATGATGTCGACTGTTGAGGTCCAAAGAGAGGCCTCACATTCAGCGACCCGATGAATGATGTCGACTGTTGAGGTCCAAAGAGAGGCCTCACATTCAGTGACCCAATGAATGATATCCACTGTTGAGGTCCAAAGAGGCCCCTCACATTCAGCGACCCCATGAATGATGTCGACTGTTGAGGTCCAAAGAGAGGCCTCACATTCAGCGACCCGATGAATGATGTCGACTGTTGAGGTCCAAAGAGAGGCCTCACATTCAGTGACCTCATGAATGATGTCGACTGTTGAGGTCCAAAGAGAGGCCTCACATTCAGTGACCTCATGAATGATGTCGACTGTTGAGGCCCAAAGAGAGGCCTCACATTCAGTAACCTCATGAATGATGTCGACTGTTGAGGTCCAAAGAGAGGCCTCACATTCAGTGACCCCATAGATGATGTTGCAATTGAGGTCCAAAGAGAGGCCTCACATTCAGTGACCCCATGAATGATGTAGACTGTTGAGGTCCAAAAAGAGGCCTCACATTCAGCGACCCCATGAATGATGTCGACTGTTGAAGTCCAAAGAGAGGCCTCACATTCAGCGACCCCATGAATGATGTCGACTGTTGAGGTCCAAAGAGAGGCCTCACATTCAGCGACCCCATGAATGATGTCGACTATTGAGGTCCAAAAAGAGGCCTCACATTCAGCGACCCCATGAATGATGTCGACTGTTGAGGTCCAAAAAGAGGCCTCACATTCAGCGACCCCATGAATGATGTCGACTGTTGAGGTCCAGAGAGGTGTATGATCCTCTCCCACTCACCTATGTAACTGAAGGTATTCCCTTGGTCTATTCAACAGGTATAAGAACCTATTTATTAGACTCCAGATTGAAAATCTGGAGTCTATTGCTTTTGCCGGTTTTCTTATTATTATTAGACTCCAGATGAAATCTGGAGTCTATTGTTTTCGTCAGTTTTCTTCTTCTTCTTATTATTAGACTCCAGATGAAATCTGGAGTCTATTGTTTTCGTCAGTTTTCTTCTTATTCTTATTCTTATTATTCTTTTTCTAAACCAGTTTTCTCAATAACCATAAGGTCTTCAGTAAAGTCAATCATTTGGTCAATTTAGGTCCAGTATCTAGTTCCTCGGAAATTGGGTCAAATTTTTATCTAGGTCAAAGGTCAAGAACTAGGTCAAATCCAGTACTTTGTCACTTTTTTCGATTTTCTCGGTCGTCCTTCAATATTTTCGATCCGGGTTTTTTTCATTGTGTTCCTCATAAAAAAGTAGGAAATCTAGGGTCGATTTAGTTTTTTGATATCTCAAACCGATTTCGAGATATCAGTGTCCGAAAACGAGGTCCAAAAAAAAGTTCTCCGAATCAAATGTCTAGGATATTAGTCTTATAGAATATTTTCTCAGGATTCCGAATCTGAAAACCAAAATTATATCAGACTTCCGGTTCGGAAGTTATGGCGTTTTGAAAGCTCAAAAATCGCTAAATTTGGTGCCCATGTTAAGTCAATGGGAAAAAAGATTTTTTTGAAGTGAAAAATACGAAATATAGACTGAGTTCAGCTAAATATAATGAAAGCTTTTAAAAGAATGGGACCTCAAAAGCCATCTAGCTTCAAAATTTGGACACCAAAATGCCTAGGTCAAAATCTAGGTCAAATTCAAAGTTTTTCCTTATTTTTGCTATTCTGACACTACAGATTAATTATATTCTTCGAAATTTTGTATACATGTAGCCAAGAGTGCGCTAATAGTGTTAGCCTTTTGCCGTCAGAAAGTATTTTGCCCCACTTTTGAGATATGGTGTCCGAAAAGTAGGTCAAAATAAAACATTCTCCAAATTTAATGTGTGAGTTATGAACTAAGTATAGAATTTTCTCAGGAATCTGAATCTGCAAACCAAATTTCGATCCGACTTCCAGTTCGGAAGTTATGACATTTTGAAAACTCAAAAATCGCTAAATTTGGTGCCCCGTGTTATGTCAATGGGAAAAAAGATTTTTTTGAAGTGTAAAATACGAGATATAGACTAAGTATAGCTTAAAATAATGAAAGCCTATGAAAGAAGGGAACCTCGAAGGCTACCTAACTTCAAAATTTGGACACCAAAATCCCTAGGTCAAAATCTAGGTCAAATTCAAAGTTTTTCCTTATTTTTGCGATTCTGACACTACAGATTAATTATATTCTTCGAAATTTTGTATACATGTAGCCAAGAGTACGCTAATAGTGTTAGCCTTTTGCCGTCAGAAAGTATTTTGACCCACTTTTGAGATATGGTGTCCGAAAAGTAGGTCAAAATAAAAAGTTCTCCAAATTGAATATATGAGTTATGAATTAAGGGTAGAATTCTGTCAGGAATCCGAATCTGCAAACCAAATGTCGATCCGACTTCCGGTTCCAAAGTTATGGCATGTCCGA